TTCAGATCATTACAGTGGTCAGTTAGTGATGATGTGTGAAAGCAATATATCTATTTACCAAAAGTCAGGCTGGATCCTGTATCCCAGGATCTACTCCCAGATTATCTGGCTGTGTAGACTCATATAAGCAGATAATTTGGGATCAGATCCTGGGATATAGGACAGTATAGAACAGTGGTTCTCAACCTGGGGTCCCCAGATTTTTTTTGCCTACAACTCCCAGAAATCCCAGTCAGTTTACCAGCTGTTAGGATTTCTGGGAGTTGAAGGCCAAAAACGTCTGGGGACCACAGGTTGAGAACCACTGGTATAGATCCATCCTCTGTTTCACAGGATTCAAAACTCTCTCCAAGAGGCTTGATGTTACATTGCACATCTAGGATGTTAAGATCATCTGGGGAAGCCCTGCTCTTGGCTCCGTCTGCGTCACAAATACATTTGGCGGGGACGAGAGACAGGGCCTTCTCAGTGGTGGCCCCTCAGCTATGGAACACCCTTCCTAGGGACATTAGATCGACTCCCTCCCTTTTGACTTTCCAAAAGATAGTCAAAACCTGGCTGTTCGAGCAGGCATTTGAAAAGGCAGTGTAACAGACATAGGATTATGGAACAACTGGACTATGAGACCAGATTACGTTTTTATCTAGGAGACGAAATGATTTGTTTTTATTAATTGTTATGGTCTTAATTGATATGTTAATGCTTTTAAATGTCTAAATGTTTTTATGACGTTGTTGGCATTGAATTGTTGCCTTGTGAACCGCCTTGAGTTGCCTGTGAGCTGAGAGGGGCGGTATACAAATGTAGCAAATAAAATAATAAATAAATAAATAAATAAATACAAGACTTCTGCACATATAATGAAAGTAATTTGAAAGAGGATGTTGAACCCAGACATCATCGCATCATCCTGCACTTTGAAATTTTAGGGCAAAGGATGTGATTTCCCTCTTTTCCAAGCCTATTCCATTCTATCCCACTCCTACAACTGTATAAATATGCTTTATACACGAGTCCTTAATACCACTCAGCATTGCATCCAAATACACGGGTTTATATTCAAAAGCTTCTGTGAAAATAAAAAACTAGTTAGCCTTTCTGGAGGGTCGCACCCAGATGGTGTTATTGGGGGACACCTGTTCAAATCCACAACCATTGTCTTGTGGGGTTCCTCAGGGTTCCATACTGTCCCCCATGTTGTTCAACATATACATGAAGCCGCTGGGAGAGATCATCTGGAGTTTCGGGGTGCGGTGCCATCTGTACGCGGATGACGTCCAACTCTGTCTCTCCTTCTTACCTGCTACTAAGGAGGCTGTTCAGGTCCTAAACTGGTGCTTGGCCGCTATGACGATCTGGATGGGGGCGAACAAATTGAAATTGAATCCAGACAAGGCAGAGGTACTCCTGGTCAGTCGCAAAGCCGAACAGGGCATAGGGTTACAGCCTGTATTGGATGGGATAACACTCCCCCTGAAAACGCAGGTTCGCAGCTTGGGTGTGATCCTGGACTCATCGCTGAGCCTGGAACCTCAGGTTTCGGCAGTGACCAGGGGGACATTTGCACAATTAAAATTTGTGCGCCAGCTGCGCCCGTACCTTGGGAAGTCTGACTTGGCCACGGTAGTACACGCTCTGGTTACATCCCATATAGACTACTGCAACGCGCTCTACGTGGGGTTGCCTTTGAAGACAGTCTGGAAGCTTCAATTAGTTCAACGAACGGCAGCCAGATTGCTAACAGGAGCGGCTCTCAGGGAGCATACAATTCCCCTGTTGCGCCAACTCCACTGGTTGCTGGTTTGCTACCAGGCCCAATTCAAAGTGCTGGTCTTGGCCTATAAACCCTAAACGGTTCTGGCCCAACTTACCTGTCCGAACGTATCTCCCCTTATGAACCATCAAGGACCTTGAGATCGTCCGGGAAGGCACTGCTCTCGGTCCCGCCTTCGTCTCAGGTACGTTTGGCGGGGACGAGAGACAGGGCCTTCTCAGCGGTGGCCCCCCGGCTATGGAACGCCCTCCCTAGAGAGATTAGATCTGCTCCCTCCCTCCTCACATTTCGGAAGCAAGTCAAACTAGAGAGCGTGTGGCGTTCGGATCCGAGCGAGCCAAATCGAACACGGTTTGTGTCCTTTCTAAGGGCATATGCCGCGGCAATAAAAGCCGCAAAGAAGACTTTCTTTGCGGCCACTATTGCGTCTGCAAAGAACCGTCCGGCTGAACTGTTCCGAGTTGTCAGAGGCCTTTTAAAACCCACCACGCAGGATGGGTGCCCTGATGACTCGGCAGCTCGCTGTGAAGCCTTTGCTCAGTTCTTTGCAGACAAAGTCGCTTTGATCCGCTCTGGTCTGGACACCATATTAATGGCAGTCTCTGAGGATGTAACACGAGCATCTGCTTGTCCAGTTTTGATGGATTCATTTCAATTGGTGAAACCCGAGGATGTGGACAAGGTGCTTGGAGGAATGAGAGCTACCACATGCATCCTAGACCCCTGCCCATCCTGGCTTCTAAAGGAGGCCAGAGGGGGATTGGCCGAGTGGGTGAAGGTGGTGGTTAATGCCTCCCTTCGGGAAGGCAAAATTCCAGCCAGCTTAAAACAAGCTGTAATAAAACCGCTGTTGAAAAAACCATCACTGGACCCCACTCAATTCGTCAACTATCGGCCAGTTTCCAATCTCCCCTTCTTGGGCAAAGTCTTGGAACGTGTGGTGGCCTCACAACTCCAGGTATTCTTGGTAGACACGGATTATCTAGACCCAGCACAGTCTGGCTTTAGGCCGGGACATGGTACCGAGACAGCCTTGGTTGCCTTAGTGGATGATCTGCGCCGGGAGCTCGACAGGGGGAGTGTGTCCCTGTTGGTGCTGCTGGACCTCTCAGCGGCCTTCGATACCGTCGACCACGGTATCCTTCTGGGACGCCTCACGGGGATGGGTCTTGGAGGTACTGTTTTGCAGTGGCTCCGGTCATTCCTCGAGGGTCGGTCTCAGAAGGTGTTATGGGAGACTCCTGTTCAACCCCACAACCTTTGTCTTGTGGGGTTCCTCAGGGTTCAATACTGTCTCCCATGTTGTTTAACATCTACATGAAGCCGCTGGGCGAGATCATCCGGAGTTTCGGAGTCCGATGTCATCTGTACGCAGATGATGTCCAACTCTGTCACTCCTTCCCACCTGCTACTAAGGAGGCTGTTGAGGTCCTGAACCGGTGCTTGGCCGCTGTGACGGTCTGGATGAGGGTGAACAAATTGAAACTGAATCCACACAAGACATAAGTACTCCTGGTTAGTCGTAAGGCCGAACAGGATATAGGGTTACAGCCGGTGTTGGATGGGGTCGCACTCCCCCTGAAGACGCAGGTTCGTAGTTTGGGTGTGATCCTGGACTCATCGCTGAGCCTGGAACCCCAGGTTTCGGCGGTGACCAGGGGAGCATTCGCACAGTTAAAACTCGTGTGCCAACTGCGCCCGTATCTTGGGAAGTCTGACTTGGCCACGGTAGTCCACGCTCTGGTTACATCCCGTTTAGACTACTGCAACGCTCTCTACGTGGGGTTGCCTTTGAAGACGGCTCGGAAGCTCCAACTAGTCCAATGATACTAGCAGGAGCAGAGCGCAGGGAGCATACCACTCCTCTGCTGCACCAGCTCCACTGGCTGCTGATTTGCTACCGGGCTCAATTCAAAGTGCTGGCGTTGGCCTTTAAAGCCCTAAACGGTTCTGGCCCAAGCTACCTATCCGAACGTATCTCTGCCTATCAGCCCGCCAGGACCCTAAGATCTTCTGGGGAGGCCCTGCTCTCTATCCTGCCTGCTTCACAGGTGCGGCTGGCGGGGACGAGAGACAGGGCCTTTTCTGTGGTGGCCCCTCGGCTGTGGAACGCCCTTCCCATGGAGGTAAGATCAGTCCCCTCGCTAATGGTGTTCTGAAGAAGATTAAAAACTTGGATGTTTGAACAGGCATTTGGTTAATCAGTGCAATGAATGTGACGATTACAGGAATGGAAATATGGACGACGAATTTGGATCACGACTCTAGTTATGAGATGTATTGTGTTGTTACTTTTGTGTAATATTGTATATTGTGTTCTTATGGTCTTAAATTGTATATTGTTGATTGTTTTTATCTTGTTGTAAACCACGTTGAGTCGCCGTTTAGGCTGAGAAACTGCGGTATACAAGTAAAGTAAAGTAAATAAATAAATAAATAAAACATAGCTGTTTGAGCAAGCGTTCTCAAACACAGAGTAACGGATATGGATAAATGATATAGGAATGGACGATTGATGATGGAACTGGACAATGCTTGACAATAAAGAGATGCTAATGATGTTGTTTTTCTTGTTGTTGTGGTTTATGTAATTGAAATGTTTTAAAATGTTCTATGATATTGTGTATACCGTTTTGTTGGAAACCGCCTTGAGTCGCCGATAGGCTGAGAAAGGCGGTATATACAGTAAACAAACAAACAAATAAAAGCTGTTGCTGTATCCTCACTCCCTGGCTTTCATACTCTTTTTAAAGTAGAAATTTAGAAACCAGAGATACTCATTTTCACAGTGGGCCCAAAGCCATGTTCTTCTATTCTGTTGAGCAGGGGTCTTCAAACTAAGGCCCGGGGGCCGAATGCGGCCCTCCAAGGTAATTTATCCGGCCCTCGCTCAGGGTCAACCTAATTCTGAAACAACTTGAAAGCACACAATAACAATAACAATCCTATCTCATCAGCCAAAAGTAGGCCCACACTTCTCATTGAAATACTAATAAGTTTATATTTGTTAAAATTGTTCTTCATTTTAATTATTGTATTGTTTTTAAGTGTATTTTGCACTACAAATATGATATGTGCAGTGTGCATAGGAATTCATTCGTGTTTTTTTTTTTCAAATTATAATCCAACCCTCCAACAGTTTGAGGGACTGTGACCTGGCCCTCTGTTTAAAAAGTTTGAGGACCCCTGCTGTTGAGTCTAAATGTTTATTTTCTTCTTTCGGCAGCAACTGCCAACCCGCTGTCATTGAAGAAAGAATGTTCAGAAGGCCCAGAGAAATGGTGTCAAGACTACCCAACAGCTCTAAAGTGCGGGGCTTTAGAATATTGCCAGCAGATGATGGGGCTTCACAACCCCGTGGTAAGTATATAATGCACACAATATTTTGTACCCATGCTAACCACCATTGTAAAATGCTCTTCCATCCAGGGCTGAATCTGCGCAGTGGATAACAAGGCTCATCCAAGAAGCCAATGACTAGAAAATAACAGCCCCGAGGAGCATGGTCAGAGTGCATTTCCCTTGCCACTGTGTCATAAGGTCAACCCCCCTGTTTAAACAGCTCCACTGGCTGCCAATAAGTTTCCAATCCCAATTCAAGGTGCAGGTTATTACCTATAAAGCTCTAAACAGTTCAGGTCCTGCCTATCTTCGTGACTGTATGCTCCCCTATGAGCCCACGTGGTCCTTAATTGAATCGTTGCCTGTGTTAGCTGCCCTGAGTCCCCTTTCGGGGGTGAGAAGGGCAGGGTAGAAATGGTGTAAATAAATAAATAATAAATAAATCTTCGGGGGATGCTCTTAGAATCATAGAATCATAGAATCAAAGAGTTGGAAGAGACCTCATGGGCCATCCAGTCCAACCCCCTGCCAAGAAGCAGGAATATTGCATTCAAATCACCCCTGACAGATGGCCATCCAGCCTCTGCTTAAAAGCTTCCAAAGAAGGAGCCTCCACCATACTCCGGGGCAGAGAGTTCCACTGCTGAACGGCTCTCACAGTCAGGAAGTTCTTCCTCATGTTCAGATGGAATCTCCTCTCTTGTAGTTTGAAGCCATTGTTCCGCGTCCTAGTCTCCAAGGAAGCAGAAAACAAGCTTGCTCCCTCCTCCCTGTGGCTTCCTCTCACATATTTATACATGGCTATCATATCTCCTCTCAGCCTTCTCTTCTTCAGGCTAAACATGCCCAGTTCCCTAAGCCGCTCCTCATAGGGCTTGTTCTCCAGACCCTTGATCATTTTAGTCGCCCTCCTCTGGACACATTCCAGCTTGTCAATATCTCTCTTGAATTGTGGTGCCCAGAATTGGACACAATATTCCAGATGTGGTCTGACCAAAGCAGAATAGAGGGGTAGCATTACTTCCCTAGATCTAGACACTATGCTCCTATTGATGCAGGCCAAAATCCCATTGGCTTTTTTTGCCGCCACATCACATTGTTGGCTCATGTTTAACTTGTTGTACACGAGGACTCCAAGATCTTTTTCACACGTACTGCTCTCGAGCCAGGCATTGTCCCCTATTCTGTATCTTTGCATTTTGTTTCTGCCAAAGTGGAGTATCTTGCATTTGTCTGTTGAACTTCATTTTGTTAGTTTTGGCCCATCTCTCTAATCTGTCAAGATCGTTTTGAATTCTGCTCCTGTCCTCTGGACTATTGGCTATCCCTCCCAATTTGGTGTCATCTGCAAACTTGATGATCATGCCTTCTCGCTTCCACCCCTGTCTCAGGCATGGTTGGTGGGGATGAGAGAAAGGACATTCTCAGTGGTGGCCCCTCATCTCTGGCCCCAGGGAGATCAAGCTGGTTCCCTCCTTATCCACATTCCATTAGGAACTGAAGACGTGGATGTTTCGTCATGCTTTTGATTGACGATTCCTGATAGATGGCTCCTAGCCATGACCTGAACTCAGTTCCTATATTACTATATTTTTAAATATAGTCATTTAGTAATATAGTAAAATATATAGTAAAGTATATAGTAAAATATATTACTATATTTTTAAGCTAAGCTGTAATGATCCTGTTATAATTGCTCTATTCCTATTCCACTATTTGTTCTATCCACCTTTTTGACCAACCTATCCTTTAACTCATTTGCATATTGATCCCCTCCCACCAAAATTGAGATTAGAGGTACCTATGATGCTTATGATGCTTGCTTTTATTGTTTACTAGCCGTCCCCTGCCATGCGTTGCTGTGGCTCACTCTGGTGATCTGGAAAATAAAGTAATGAGAAAGTGTTGGTTTCTAATCTATGTAATGTCTTGATAATTGTGGATAAACAGTACTTCTTGTTTCTTTGTCAGTGTTGATGTGGAGATTGTTTGGTTTGCCTACTCTGGAACATGCAACATATGATTGTCCTTCTTTAGGGATCCCTTTCAAATCTATGATACTATATCTCTGTATGTGTGTGTGTGTGTGTGTGTATGTGTGAATCATATATATCTATGACTGGATGACTCTTTGTCAGGAGGGCTTTGTTTACGTTTTCTTGTCTGGTGAAGGGAGTTGGACTGGATGGCCTTAAGTATAGCGGTTCTGTGTGGGAAGTTTAGCCCAATTTTATCGCTGGTGAGATTCAGAATGCTCTTTGATTATAAGTGAACTATAAATCCCAGCAACTACAACTCCCAAATGTCAAGGTCTAGTTCCCCCAAACTCCATCTGTGTTCATATTTGGGCATATGGAATATTCGTGCCAGGTTTGGTGCAGATCCATCATTGTTTGAGTCCACAGTGCTCTCTGGATGTGGGTGAACTGCAACTCCCAAACTCAAGGTCAATGCCCACTAAACCCTTCTAGTGTTTCTGTTGGTCATGGGAGTCCTGTGTGCCACGTTTGGTTCAATTCCGTCATTGGTGGAGTTCAGAATGCTCTTTGATTGTAGGTGAATTATAAATCCCAACAACTACAACTCCCAAATGACAAAATCAATTTTTTTTGAATGATAGTAACTCCTTGGGTTAGTAAATGTCTTGTGGCCAAAATTGGCAGCAATTCATGCAGTTGTTTTTGAGTTATGCTCATCCCACAAACGAACATTACATGTTTATTTATATAGATAACTAGCTTTACCCGCCACGCGTTGCTGTGGCCAACCTTCTCTCCCTCTTTCTCTCCTTCTTTCAGTCCTTCCTTCATTTCCTTTTCTTCTTTCCTTTTTTCCTTCTCTACCTGTTTACTTCCTTCCTTAGCTTTTTGCTCCCATCCTTCCTTCTCTTTATTTCTTTCCTGCCCTCCCTCTTTCTCTCCTTGTTTCTCTTCTCCCTTTGCTCCGCCTTTCCTCCCTTCCCTTTTTCTTTCCTTCTCTCCTCCTTCCTTCTCTTCCTCTTTCCTTCCTCCTCCCTTTTTTTTTTCTTCCTCTTTCTCTCCTTTCTTCCCTCTCTATCTCTTTCCTTCCTTCCTTCGCTCTTCACTTCCAGACTTCCTTTCCTTTCTTTCTTTTCTTCCCTCCCTTTCTCTTCTTCCTTCGCTTTTTTCCTCTCTTCCACTTCCCAAATTCCCCTTCCATTCTTCCTTCCTTCCTTCCTTTTGACACCTTCCCTTCCCCTTCCCTTTCTTCTTTTTTTCTATGTTTCTTTCCTTTCCTCCTTCCTTCCTTTCTCCCTTCTTTCCCATCCTCCTTCTCTCTCTTTATTCTTTCTTTCCTACCTTTCTTCTTTCATATACCTTCTCAACTTCTCCTTCCTTCCTTCCTCCTTCCTTCCTTCCTTCCTTCCTTCCTTCCTTCCTTCCTTCCTTCTTTCCTTCCTTCCTTCCCTTCCTTCCTTCCTTTCTCCATTCTTTCCCATCCTCCTTCTCTCCCTTCTTTTGTGCATGTTCAGTTGTTTTTTGTGATTGTGAGTGTGTTGAAATATTGGTTAGAATTTTGAATCGGTTTGTGCATACCTTGTGGGTTGAGGTATGTGCATGGTAAATTTGGTAAGTTTTTGTTGGGTTTTTTTCGTGTTTTGCTGTCCCGTTGAACGCCCTTTCCATTTTTATATATATAGATGATGTTGTTTTTAAGCTGTTTTATATTTTGCTGTTCTGTTTTTAACTGTATGTTATCTGGGCATGGCCCCATGTAAGCTGTCCCAAGTCCCTTTCGGGAGATGCAGGCGGGGTAGAAAAATAAAGTTGATGCTGATGCTGATGATGATGATGATTATTATTATTATTGGGTTGCCATCTGGTATCCCCTTCTCCTCAAAAGTGCCTTTTGCTCCTATTGGAAAGCCAGAGTGTTTTGGGGTAGTTGTTCTTCAGCTCACTTTTTACTATATACCAAGGGGAAAACAGCCATTTTACACAGTTTTCTATCTCAAGACAAGGAATAGGAAATCAATATTACTCCAGATGTGGAAGTCCAAGAGCCACATCTTTGCCATTGATTATGCTGTCTGTGATGATGGGTCTCGCAACGTCTGGAGAGCCAGTCATTCCTCACCCATCTTCTAGACCAGGTCTTGGACTTCAACTTCCAGAAGTTGAAGCTGCTTTGGATAATGATAGGGATTTTGTGAGCCCATGTCCAAAACACTTGGAAGACCAAAGTTTGGATAACACTGCTCTGATTCATCCAAAGGGCTCCACTCCTGAACCTGGTCCAGGATCCACACTTGTTTCTGTCTCTGCAGTTCTCAGAAATTAAGAAAGTGGCATTTCTAACTTGAATGAAAACAAAGGATTTTGCATAATGTCACCCCACTGGGTTGGCTCCAGGCTACCTTAGTTGAACTTTATTCCAACAGAAAACAAACAGGATGTAATTCATACCTAACTTGCCTAATTGAGGTCGATAGTGCTTACATTCACGTAATTTAATCTGGAGCCCAACCCAACAAAAAGCACCTTGTGTTCTGCAGTGCAATTGAAGACAGTGGCAGCTACGCCGAATACACTGTGCACCCACTGCCAATTTTTGATTTCATTCTAAAACCACCTTCACTTTTCTATGCTTCACTTTTGACTGAATATGACTAAACCCCAAATATCTGAAGATGAGGGAGCATTTCTAATTGCCAGACAATTGAGTCTGCTAGGAAAAGAGATCAGCATGAAGATGCGAGTAGAAAATCAGAAATGGGAGCAACATATTTAAATCAAATAAATTATGCCTTTTGTCGCTCCTCAGGGTAAAATCACCTTGCTTAGGACACCAAAGAACACACCAGCAGTAGTTGTTATGGTTTATTAAAATAAAAGATAGAATGTTCAAAAGGCAAAAGTATATTTCAAAATATCAATCCCAGGTAACATAGGCAAACAAGATCCATGAAGACACAGGCAAGGCATAGTCCCATGAGAACATGACAAAGTCCTGAAACATGAACATGAAAGCTGCAAGATAAATCCAAAGTCTCTTGGTTGAAGCGGAAAGTTGCTTTGACACTGAGGCATATTCAAACAGCCTGTTTAATACTCTGGACAACATGAAGGCATTCCTATGGCCCCCAGCCTTCCTCTCTCGCCTGCTAGCGATCCTAACACTCCTTCAAACCTTAAATTCCAACGAATCAGCTCGATCTAAACCTCCGGCTTAATCAAGGATGATTTCCTCGTTAGTGCTTTTTCCCTCATTATCAGGCTGAGAGCTATCTAGCTGAGAACCGTCCTCCCTTCCTGAATCATGCACCTGGATCTCAGTATTTTCACTTTCCCCAGCGTCAACCCCATGCTGTGGGAAACAACTGAACTTCTGCCCCCTCTTCCTGGTCTTCTTCGTCTAACATAGGGACATCATTACTTTGCACCTGACTGTGAATTTGAATCCCATCATCCCCATCAGAATCATTGACACTATCACTCTGAGATTCCAGTTGAGTCACAACACCTTTAGTGGTCTCCCAGTATTTTCTTTGGGGCCAGTAAACTTTGGGCACATCTACATGAATTCTTAACCTCTAGTGTTAAATGTTAAATCTGCTTCATGTATCAAGTGGCAGCTACTTGATACATGGAGCTGATTTAGGATGATATTTATTTATTTATTTATTTATTTCATATATTTGTACCCCACCCTTCTCAACCCCGGGGGGGGGGGGCGCTCAGGGTGGCTTCCAGCCGACAACAATTCGATGCCTCCAATGTACACATAATAAAATACATGATAAAATCTAATAATTACATACATTTATAACATTAAATCACATTAATTAGCTAAAATAAGTTTCTGTTTCAATAACAGCCTGGTGGCCTTATCTGAGCCGAATTCTGTAGTTAGAGCATGTCCATATCCATTTCCATAGCGATTGTCATCATTGTCACTGTCATTGTCAGCAAGATTACCTTAAGGCCTGGTCCCACATCCACATTTTTAACTTCTTTCTGAAGGAAAGGAGGGACATCGATAATCTAATTTCACTGGGGAGTGAATTCCACAGGCGGGGGGCCACCACCGAGAAAGCCTTGTCCCTTGTCCCCACCAAGCGCGTTTGCGACAGAGGCGGGGCCGAGAGCAGGGCCTCCCCAGAAGACCTTAAACTCTGAGATGGGATGTAGAAGGAGATACGTTCGGACAGATATGCTGTTTAGGGTTTTACAGGTCAAGACCAGCACTTTGAATTGTTCTCGGAATTGGACTGGCAGCCAGTGGAGCTGACATAACAGGGGGGTGGTGTGCTCCCTGTATGACACTCCAGTGAATAGTCTAGTTACCGCCTGTTGGACTAGTTGGAGTTTCCGAACAGTCTTCAAAGGCAACCCCACGCAGAGCGCATTGCAGTAATCTATTCGGGATGTAACAAGAGCGTGGACCACTGTGGCCAGATGATATCACATTCAAGTTCTAAAACGCAGGTCCACATTTCACTATCGCTCAGTTTGCTCCTGCAGAATCCTGGGAAATGTCGTTTTCTTGATGTTGTTTCACACACAGGCTGTCCTCTTTAATAACATTTATTTTCTTATCTCCACAGAAGAACTTCAAATGTGCTATTTGTAAATTCACTGTAGTGATGATGGCAAAGATTGTACAAGACAACACTACTGATGTAAGTTGGGATTTTTTAATTGGCTAGAACTCTAGCGGTGGTGGATATGATGATAGAAATGTTGCAGCAAATAGCAGAGATTATATCAAGAGAGATCCTTTCCGAGGCAGAAAAGTACAGCTTTATTTCCAGCTGGGACCTTGGAGTGGAGCTGTGTCCAAAAGCAACCAGAGTGCCTGATAAAGGTGTTGACTGCCTTTTATACACTTCAAATGCAGGCAAACAAAGAAACATGCTTCTACATACATTGACATCAATCTCTATGTCACTTTAGCATCACAGAAATATCAAATTCTATCTTCCAACCTACAAGAGGCATGTCTCTGTATTTCTTTCTAAAGAGCAGCATACAGCTTACAGCTTACATTCATTAATCAAGGGGCCTACTTTGACTTGTCAGGAGGGAGGGGGATAGTCTCCTTACTTAACTATAGCCTGGGCTCTGTTGTACCAGTTTCTGTATAGGTAACATGTCTCCCCTTCCTGGAATGTTCACCTCCCTCTTGCTGTGCCTGGACAGCAGTTTGACTTGTCCTGTCAGCTTGGGTTTCTGATACAGAGAGAACTTGATTTTTTCTTACATTTCAATGCTTGTGATGTACATACAATATATGCATAAATAAATATATATTTTTTTCAATATCTCCCCATCAAAACAAAATAACCTGGTCTTCTCCTATTCTGTGAACAATAGCTTGATTCACCAGGAATCCATAGGGAAAGATCTTCAAGGATTTCCTTTGTCTGAAAGTGTGCTACTTTGCAATATGTGACATCAAAACACCACAATGCTACAAAAACCCTGTTAGAATATTTTGACAGTGTGTATGGGCCGGATACTCTCTAGTAGGCTTGTGCATTTCAGCTGAACCTCAATCATTTTCTGATGGCCAGATTCCAGTAGACCCATGTATCCATTTTTGCACACATTTAGAAAATGGGCGAGTAGATCAGCCCTACTCAGAGTCTGGTCGAAATATAAGAGATGGAAGCAAACCAGAGAAGACTGCTCGGTTGAATTAACTGGCCTACATATAAGGACCTATTAATTAAAAATACTTCAAGTTTAAAAACACACGAGAATTTAAAACAAGAATTTACTAATATTTCCTGGTTGCACTACCTACAAATTAAGGAATATTATAATAAAGATAAAAAAATAGGTTTTAATTTGAAAGAATCAAACTGGGAGAAAATCTTACAGACAGAGAAAAATGAATTACAAAAATTTATAATCAATTATTAGATTCAGAAGTGGTTAAAAATTGCATGATTAGATGGTCAGAAAATTTAAGACATCCAATACAGATGAAAGAATGGGAACAAATTTGGACAAAAAAAATCAAAATATACCTATGCTATGGACTTAAAAGAAAACTTTCTAAAGAATGTTTCATAGATGGTATATAACTCCCCAAAAAAATTAGGACTTATGTATAAAAACGTAAGCAAGACTTGTTGGAAATGCCAGGATCACGAGGGCAGCTTTTTCCACACGTGGTGGACTTGTAAAGAACCCCCAAAATATTGGAAAATGATACATAAGGAGTCCCAAAATCTATTAGGAATTAAATTTGGAAAAAACCCAGACTATTGCCTCTTAGGACTTACAGACTTTGAATTAAATGTGGATCACAATAAAGATATTTTATTTACATATATTTCTACGGCGGCAAGAATCATCTATGTGAAGTTCTGGAAATTAAATAAAATTCCAGATAGAGAAGACTGGATAAGCAAACTAAGAGAAATCAGAGACATGGACAAATTAACGTGTTTTTTTTTTAAAGACAAATTCGGGAAACCCAATAAGAAAGACAGACTGGACTCTTTTTGATTTGTATGAAAGAGGAAAAAATAAGAAAGATAATGTCTAGAGGAGTCTTTCTTTCTTTCTTTCTTTCTTTCTTTCTTTTTGGAATAATATATAATAATAGACATATCCTTCCTGGTTAAAACTTTAAAAAAATATTAGAGAGATCTAGACAAGAAGAAACAGCTAAAGCACAGAATGGAAGTCATCAGTTTTTTTTTCTTTTTCTTTTTTTGCTTCTATTCCGGGACGTTTATTACTATTATCTTTTCTCTAATTTTCTGTCTTTTCTATAAAATGATTGTTCCCCCACTTTCCATGTGAAAATTTTCATTTTTTTTTATCTTATCTACTACTATTTTTTTATATTTTATTACTTATGTTATACCAATAAAAATGTACCTTAAAAAAAAGAAAAGAAAATGGGCGGGTAGCCGGATAGCTGTTTTTGGTTCACAGCTGAAAAATATGGCTAGATCTGGCCCTTTGGTGGCAATGGGGAACTTAGGAGGCTCCCCTTTCTGTTCCTGGGACTGTTTCCTTTCTTCCCTTCAAGGGAGCCTGGGTTTCAGCAACAAGGTTCAGGAAGCAGACACAGCTTGCATAAGACACCGAATGGGGAGGAGCCGTGATCAGTCACATAGTCCCATAATGGATGAAAAAACATGATGGCTGGGCCCTTGCAATTACAGCCATGCAACCAAGCTGAAGAAACTGGATTGGCCAAAGGAAAATGGCTAAAACGGATCCGCGCACAAAGCTATGCTCTATCACATCTATTTCACTTGATGTTTCATGTGCCTTCGGCTTTTGACTACCATGCCTATCATTCCAGGCAGAAAACTATTTCAGTGTGCAGGCTAGAGATGACGGTCATTGAATTCAAATGCATTTGAAATCTTTGTATTTATAATTTTTTATTGTGTCGGAAAGCTATAGAATATTTATTAACTAAATGGAGAAAGGCTCCCATCTTTCTTTATAATATTAAGGTCATCTCTGAAGTGTTTAAACTCAAAAAGAAAAATAACTCTGAAAGATTATCATGACTGGCTGAGCAAAGTGCTAGAGATTATGAACATGGACAGACTTTGTTGTTGTTCATTCGTTCAGTCGTTTCTGATTCTTCGTGACCTCATGGACCAGTCCATGCCAGAGCTCCCTGTCGGGCCGTCACCAGCCCCAGCTCCTTCAAGGTCAATCCAGTCACTTCAAGGATGCCATCCATCCATCTTGCCCTTGGTCGGCCCCTCTTCCTTTTTCCTTCCATTTCCCCCAGCATCATTGTCTTCTCTCAGCTTTCCTTTCTTCTCATGATGTGGCCAAATGGACAGACTTACCTATTGGCTTTCATCTAACCAAGGAGGAGCCCCCGGTGGCGCAGTGGGTTAAACCCCTGTGCCGGCAGGACTGAAGACCAACAGGTTGCAGGTTCGAATCCGGGGAGAGGCGGATGAGCTCCCTCTACCAGCTCCAGCACTTCATGCGGGGACATGAGAGAAGCCTCCCACAAGGATGATAAAACATCAAATCATCCGGGCGTCCCCTGGGCAACGTCCTTGCAGACGGCCAATTCTCTCACACCAGAAGTGACTTGCAGTTTCTCAAGTCTCTCCTGACATGATCTAACCAAGGCTTACCTAAGAAAGAAACCAACTAGGACCTTGTAAAATACTACTTAAAACAGATGAAAATAGATCTCATTTGCTGAAGACATTCAATCTTAAGGGAAAAAGAACATGTAGGGGAAGTAGAATAATAATAACATAATTTTAATTCCAAATAAACTTAATGACCATCAAAAGCATGAAGGAAGTCAACAAATATCTATTTTTCTTTTCTTTTCTTCTTCTTTTTTTTTTTTTTTACAGTTTTTAGAGTTTCAAATTTTTCATTTTTTCTTTTTCTCTTTCTTTCCTCTTTTTCTTTTCTCTTTCCTCAATTTTTCCTACTTTCTATACAAGCAAATGTTCTCCCACTTTCAGTGTAAAGGAAATACTAGTTTTAGATTTCTTTTTTCTATTTTTTATTTCCCATGATAAAATGTCAATAAAAATTTCAATTACGAAAAAAAGAAAGATGATCATGATCCAACGTTATCTGTTCTTGTTGTCTTGCCATAAATGTGATTTAATATATGATTCCTGTTAGATATAATTTTAAAAACGTTCTGTAATCATGCCGAAGATTATAGCAGTCTGAAACAAAAGCAGAAATTCTATTTTTCTTCCACTTTTTTCTGACAACAATATTTTTCTCCTCTTCATAGGAAACACTATGTAATTTTTTGGAGAAAGGATGCCAATACCTTCCCTTTCATGACTGGTCAATGAAATGCAAGAAGATGGTGGACACTGGAGTCATCATTCTTGTAGAACTTGGAAAACAAGCACAGGTAAATTAACAAGAGAGACAATGAAGTATTGTTGACATTGCTGCCGTTCACTGTGGTTTGTGCCAAGATTTGCAATTATCCTATTCCAGAAGATTTTGGACTTCAGTGTTCATAATCCATCCGTGTTGATTATGCTGACTGAAATTAAAGGGAGGAATGCAGTCATCCATATTTAGACCGGACCCAGGCAGGTTGCATTCTGTGACCTGCTTTCCCTGGGAGAAGAAAAGCAGGATATTAAATACATAAATACATAACACTTATGTTGGAAGCACTTTTTAACATGCACAAAGTTAATTGGGCATGATACATATTGCTTTTCCCTCCAGCATCATGAATTATATCATGGACCCAGTCCAAAATTACGTATTTTCTGACTGAAGTGAAGACAATGTTCTTTGGCTTGTCTTAAGTCCATATGGAGAAGGTGACCAGCTTGGTGGTTGAAGCTTCCTTCAACATTGGTTGAATATGAATATACTTACTTACTTACTTAGACGATCCCTCATTGTCCGAGTAGGATTGTCTTCCAAGATCGGTCCACTGGTGGTGGGTCTGTTGGAGACTGTGGAGCCCCATTCTTGATTTACATGTTCTCCCGCAGTGAGGGCATTGGTTTCCCGGTGGAAGGCAAGTCCCGGTCAGGGTTGGCTTGATGCGCCTTCCTCTTGGCACGTTTCTCTCTTTCGCCCTCCATTCATGCCTCTTCAAATTCTACAGCACTGCTGTCACAGCTGACCTCCAGCTGAAGCGCTCAAGGGCCAGGACTTCCCAGTTCTCAGTGGCTATGCCAGAGTTTTTAATATAAATATATTTGAGTGTGGTGTTGCAAAAGCGCTGGAATCACTAGGGGTGAAGCTACACTGTAGAATGAATGCAGTTTGATGCCACTTTAACTGCCATAATTCAATGCTATGGAATCCTGGCATTTGTAATTTGGCATGGCACTGCTTTGTCAGAGAAGGACAAAGCCTATGAAAAATGGCGACTTCTATGATTCCATAGTATTGAGCCATGGCAGCTAAAGAGGTGTCAAACTGCATTCATTCTGCAGTGTATAGTGTGTTGTTGGCACCAACAAAGGAAGCTGTTCATTGGAAGAGAGAAATAAGAGTTTTAGTGATGTCCATACTCTCTATTTCCAGGAAGCAGAATAATTGCATATGAGGGCAACCCTATTGCATATGAGGGCAACCCAACTGATCCCATGCCTGGCCCTTTTATATCTTGCTCACGCCCATTTTAGTATTTCTGGTTAATGGTTTTTGTTTAACACATTTGGTGAGGACGAGAGTTAGGGCCTTCTCAGTGGTGGCTCCTCGGCTATGGAACGCCCTTCCTGGGGACATTAGATCGCCCCCCCCTCTTAACATTTCAGAAAAGAGTCAAGACTTAGTTGTTTGAACAAGCGTTTGAAAATGCAAGGTAAATAACATAGGAATTGGAACTACAACGAGATTGGACACTGCGCCATCGGGGGCTCCTTTCCTGTGATGATAATGCAATGTGTCACATTCCTGTGATGATAGTGCAATGTGACTCAATGATGAAATAAAATAATAATAATAAAAAACAATGAATAGGTGGGAAAGGGGTGGTGGAGGAAATTATTGATTTTTAAAGATAACACTATGTAACAAAATATGAAAAAATTAGACCTCACAACCTCTGAGGATGCTTGCCATAGATGCAGGCGAAACGTCAGGAGAGAATGCTTCTAGAACATGGCCATATAGCCCGAAAAATCTACAATAACCCAATCGGTTCCTGGTTTGAAAGTGTTATTTCCTGTTTAATTGTACGATCCATACTTTGAAAGTAGTTGTTATACTCCAGAAACTTAATTTTTGTGGCTATATTGAATTTGTTGAAACTAAAATATGGATCAGCATTTTAACAAGTGAACAGAGAAAAGGAATTAAAATGCTGCAATTAAAAAAAAATCATGAGTGGATGGGTAAAGCATGTAGAACTGAAAATTTGCAAACTAGTTAAAACCTGGAATCGCTGATATTCATTGAAAAACGATAGCCAAATGTGCTGGAGGATGTCACACAAAAACAATGTTTTTGCAGTTTAATACATTTTCCTATGTTTTATGATAGAACCAATTAGGAAATGACATTTATAACCCAGGAACAAAAATCTTGTTACATAGTGTGATCAGGGTTATGTAATGCATGAAAAATATTTTCTTTTGCTGTGTTTCTTCGTGACAATTGAAGAAGCTCTGTGTATAAAGGTATTTTGTGTGAACTCTCAAAACAATGGCAGAATATTTCTCCGAGTGACCCTGAAAAATTTGTCGATCAGGTCGAACAAAGTCTGAGAGCAGACAAACCACAGATGTCTTCAAAGGGGTTCAATTTCTTTTCCTCTTTTAAAAAACCAGCAATTTTAAATTACCAAATTTCACTCACTAAATAGTCTTTGTTTTCCCCATCTCTAGACTAAACCTGATATTGTGTGTGGTGCCTTCAAACTGTGCAATCATGAAGCAACCACTGAAGGAGCCCTGAAGTTTGAGAGCTCCGACAGAAAGACAAGAATGACAGACTTCCCTGAAATGTTGACTCCGTTCATGGCAAACGTGCCTCTTCTCCTCTTCCCGCAAGATGAGGACCAACCTGGAACTCTGGTGAGGACAAGGAAGCAGGGCAGATTCAGCAATTCCAGTTAGAGAGGCAGGAAGGGATTGGTGGGTCCATTTTAGTCTGAGTGGCCTCTCCGTGGACAAAACTTTATTTTTATTCTATTAATTTAAAATATAATTCTGCCTGATGGAAATCTGTCAGAGCTACTTTGATGGTGATTTTCCTGCATTGCAGGGGGTTGGACTGGATGGCCCATGTGGTCTCTTCCAACACTATTATTCTATGGTTCTATGAATAGAATTGGGGAGGGGGGCGGACAGAAAAGTGCCTCGTGGTTGTATATTCTCCCCTACTTTGTGTTCGCTCTTCTAACATGAAGAAGAACTGCTTCATGTTAGTTTTACTTGCAGGATTCATCAACCTCCCTTTTCCATAGAGCTGAAAAGATTACTTTTTGTGACTACAATTCCCAGAATTCTCAGAATTCCCAGAACTGCCCTGAGCTCTGATTTAAAGAGAAACAAAGAGCAGTCAACAGATCTTTGGCATTATTTATTTATTTATTTACAGCTTTTATATTCCGCCCTTCTCACCCTGCAGGGGACTCAGGGCGGATTACAGTGTACACATACATGGCAAACATTCAATGCCAATTTTGACATACAACATATACAGACATAGACAGAGGTTATTAACTTTTTCTGGTCGCCAGGGGAGCTGTCGCTTTCATCATCCATCTGCGACACTGATGAAGTACTTCCGCATTCCCCGCATGCTTTTTGCTGGAGTGCTTGCTGGAGTCTTTTTTTTTATGGCCTCATAAATTAGTTAATTTAGCCTCCCCACACTTTAAGGTGGTACCTCATTTTCCTACTTGACAGATGCAACTTTCTTTCGGGTTGCAAAGGTCGACAACAGGCTACACAATTGGTTGGAAACCCACTCCAACCTGGGCTGGCTTCGAACTCATGACCTTTTGGTCAGAGTGATCTTAATGCAGCTGACCCTCAGCCACTCAGCCAGCTGCGCCACAATCCCTGTGCATGGGAACAGTCTATTTGGTTGCCTGAAATGCAAAGCCAATCACTCCATTGTAGCACCACCACCACCACCAACAACAAAACTTTATTTTGGCAAAACTATGGTTAGGTGGATCTGTAATTGGTTAAGTGGACAAACCCAGAGGTGATTCTCACCAATGCTTCCTCTTCATCCTGGTAAGAAGTGATGAGCGGAGTGCCATCAGCAGGGTTCCGTCCTGGGCCCGGTCCTGTTCAACATCTTTATTAATGACTTAGATGAAGGGTTGGAAGGCATGATCATCAAGTTTGCAGACGACACCAAATTGGGAGGGATAGCCAATACTCCAGAGGACAGGAGCAGGATTCAAAACGATCTGAACAGATTAGAGAGATGGGCCAAAACTAACAAAATGAAGTTCAACAGTGACAAATGCAAGATACTCCACTTTGACAGGAAAAATGAAATGCAAAGATACAGAATGGGGGACGTGTGGCTCGATAGCAGTACGTGTGAAAAAGATATTGGCATCCTCATGGACAATAAGTTAAACATGAGCCAACAATGTGATGCGGCGGCAAAAAAAGCCAATGGGATTTTGGCCTGCATCAATTGGAGTATAGTGACTAGATCCAGGGAAATCATGCTGCCCCTCTATTCTGCCTTGATTAGACCACACCTGGAATATTGTGTCCAATTCTGGGCTCCACAATTGAAGAGAGATATTGACAAGATGGAATGTGTCCAGGGGAGGGCGACTAAAATGATCAAGGGTCTGGAGAACAAGCCCTGTGAGGAGCGGCTTAGGGAACTGGGCATGTTTAGCCTGAAGAAGAGAAGGCTGAGAGGAGATATGATAGCCATGTATAAATATGTTTACCGGAAGCCACAGGGAGGAGGGAGCAAGCTTGTTTTCTGCTGCCCTGGAGACTCTGACATGGAGCAATGGCTTCAAAATACAAGAAAGGAGATTCCATCTGAACATTAGGAAGAACTTCTTCTTCTGAATACACACAGATGATCTTGTCATCAGCATACTGGAGTTCTATAACAGATGTTATTGTAACCTTGGTTTTGGCTTTCAGTCTGCTGAGGTTAAATAGCTTGTCATCTGTCCAATAGATGATTTCCACTCTGGTGGGAAGCTTCCCGTCACATCACAGAGGGGGCAAGATAGGTAGAGAAGGATGGAGGACACTGTGGATCATTCAAACGCACCCTATTACTACTGTCTGCTCTGTGGCATTCCTGATTCTTCAGTGCTACGTATTGTACTTCTAACAGAAATAGAAACAAGAACAATAGGATAAGAAGAGCTGCAGTCTGGTAGCACCATTCTCAATTACTCCCAGTGTGCTGGTACGGCTGTACCAGGAGCTCCAAATTTATTTGCTTTGTATTAAATGTTTGTTTGCAGTCCTAGGTTTCAGGGACTCTGCAGATAGGTGGCTTTCTTTGGTTGCAGTCATAGGGCAAGTCACCTGTCCATCATCGTTAAGTTTTGGTCCCGCCCCTTGCTCAGGGCAATTGGGAAGGGAAGGGAGCCATTTTTAGTTAGTCTCAGCAAGGAAAGCTAATGTACAAGACGTGTGCAAGCTTCCCCTGTACAAAAGCTTCAACCCTTAAGACTTTCCGGGGGGAAACAGTCTTAAGAGCATCCAAGACTTTCCGGGGGAGAACAGTCTAGGTTCTTGTGGGTTTTTTCGGGCTATAGGCCATGTTCTAGAGGCATTTCTCCTGACGTTTCGCCTGCATCTATGGCAAGCATCCTCAGAGGTAGTGAGGTCTGTTGGAATTAGGACAATGGGTTTATATATCTGTGGAATGGGTGGGGTGGGGCAAAGAGCTCTTCTCTGCTGGAGCTAGGTGTGAATGTTTCAACTGACCACCTTCATTAGCATTTGAAGGCCTGGCTGAGCCTGGGAAAATCTTTTGTTGAGAGGTGTTAAGATGTGCCTGGTTGTTTCCTCTCTGCTGTTTTGCTGTTGTAATTTTAGAGTTTTTTAATACTGGTAGCCAGATTTTGTTCATTTTCATGGTCTCCTCCTTTCTGTTGAAATTGTCCACATGCTTGTGGATTTCAGTGGCTTCTCCACAAGCATGTGGACAATTTCAACAGAAAGGAAGAGACCATGAAAATGAACAAAATCTGGCTACCAGTATGAAAAAACTCTAAAATTACAACAGCAAAACAGCAGAGAGTGAAACATTCACACACCTAGCTCCAGCAGACAAGAATTCTTTGCCCCACCCCAGCCATTCCACAGATATATAAACCTATTGTCCTATTCCAACAGACCTCACTACCTCTGAGGATGCTTGCCATAGATGCAGGCGAAACGTCAGGAGAAATGCCTCTAGAACATGGCCCTATAGCCCGAAAACCCCCCAAAAAACCTAGTGATTCCAGCCATGAAAGCCTTTGACAATACATTGCAAGTCTCATGATTCCATAGATTTCAGGAAAACAGCCCTAAAGACCAAAGAACTCCAGCTGGAGAATATCTAAGCCTTTACTGGTAGGTCCACTCGGTGCTTCGAGACGCAGTTCGACCCGGTAGCAGAGCCCACATCAGTAAGGGTTAGATTACAGTCAGCCTGGGAGAAGTTAAAAAGGGTATTTTCCTTTAAAGTAAAGAAGAAGTTATTGAAGACAGTTGCCTGTCCTTCGTGGGCAAGTTTAGGAAGCCACCAGTTGCTTAAAAGCTTGGAAGCAAACCCTGCTCTATGTCTGCAAGATGTGGCCTATCTACAGACATCGCATTCAACTCCTAGAACGATTCCATCAGCGTTGCCTCTGAAAAATCCTGCAAATCTCTTGGGAAGACAAGCGGACAAATGTCAGCGTGGTGGAAGAAGCAAAGACCACCAGCATTGAAGCGATGGTCCTCGCCATCAACTCCGCTGGACCGGCCACGTTGTCCGGGTGCCTGACCACCGTCTCCCAAAACTGTTACTCTACTCCCAACTCAAGAATGGAAAACATAATGTTGGTGGACAGGAAAAGAGATTAAAAGATGTGCTTAAAGACAACCTTAAAAACAGTATCATAGGCATAGACACTGAGAACTGGGAAGCCCTGGCCCTTGACGCTCCAGCTGGAGGTCAGCTGTGACCAGCAGTGCTGCAGAATTTGAAGAAGTACGAATGGAGGGCGAAAGAGAGAAATGTGCCCAGAGGAAGGCGCGTCAAGCCAACCCTAACCAGGACCGCCTTCCCCCTGGAAAACGATGTCCTCACTGCGGAGAAGATGCAGAGCAAGAATAGGGCTCCACAGCCACATACGGACCCACAAGAATATTGGAAGACAATCATCCTCGGAAAGCGAGGGATCGCCTAAAGAAAAGAAAAAGAAAGCTTGGAAGCATTTGTTTAGCTTTATTGAAGACAAAAGAAGTTTCAGTTTAATTGTACTTCACAAGCCATCTAAAGGTCATTTGTGGTGGAAAACCTCTGAGAACTTCTCCTTGGGCCCCCTGGCTTCCCGCTGAGCAAAGGTTGCACGCCCTGTTCTAAAGACAATTATTTACAGGCCCAGCGCGTGACAGAACACCCAAGGCAGTGAGTATTGAGGCAGCTCACTAATTCTCTGACAACTCCTTGCTACTGAGACCCGATGCCAACCATAATTTAAGAGACTTTGGGGGCATTGAGGAAGTGGACAGGGAGTTCATTCAAATTTCTATTGGTGTCACTCCAAAGTAGCCTTGAAACAGTGGGACATGCCGCACGGAGGTGAGACAAAACAGAACAATAACAAAAAGCAACTTTAAAAAAATGCATCACTCTCACTCTGAAATTTGGAGTAGAGAGTCCAGATGCTGAGAACCGTACTATTGTGTAATGTCCGAAGTGGAAGAAGGAACATTTGCTGAATATCAACTGTTCCATTAATGTACACAACAGAGATGAAGTGGGGAACTTAATTTTAAAAGGGCCCTGAGTCATTTGCCTCACTTTCTTATTTCCTCTGCTTCTTTTCTCCTGGCTTAAGTCAATAACCTCTTTCAAAGAGGACAAGTACTTGGGATAATGGAGTGCTGGGAATGAAGGAGTGGTAGGAAGAAGCCACTTTTAGCTGCGTGTTCCTTTTAATGTTTGCTAGACACACCCTGTTTTGTACCTGAAAAGGGCAAACATGCAGACAGCGAACAGAACATGTCTGCCCTCTTGATTATGATTCGTCTGACTTTACATACTAGGTTGGATGTGATGGGGCTCATTATTTCAAATATGTTTCATAAACAGGTTAAAACAGGGGTGGGGAACATGTATATTCCAGTTCTCACCCTAGCTAGTCAGTCCAATCAATCTCAAAGGAATATAGAAATTGTGTTATAATAACATCTGGAGGGTCACATGTTCCTCACCCCACATTAAACCATAGTTTGCCTGTTGCGAGTATCCTCATTGCCCCTGGCCTATAGCAAAGGCTCAGTTTCATAATACAGGATGACTAGAAAATGTGCCATTCTAGTTCTATGTTAAATGGTCTCATTTTCTTTGTGGTGTAGCCCAGAATCAGTCATGCTGGCTAGTAAATTTGAAGAGATGTAGTCTAAAAAAGCAACATTCCTAAGCTTTGGATGGTTAGATCCTTGTGAATCTACACCAAGATCTAGGGATGTAATAATAATAATAATAATCGGGTTGTTGTAGGTTTTTCCGGGCTATATGGCTATGTTCTGGAGGCAATTTTTCTCCTGATGTTTCGCCTGCATCTATGGCAAGCATCCTCAGAGGTAGTGAGGTCTGTTGGAAGTAGGAAAAATGGGTTTATATTAGCTAATATGGCCATGTTCTGGAGGCAATTTTTCTCCTGACGTTTCGCCTGCATCTATGGCAAGCATCCTCAGAGGTAGTGAGGTCTGTTGGAAGTAGGAAAAATGGGTTTATATATCTGTGGAATGACCAGGGTGAGACAAAGGACTTTTGTCTGCTGGGGCTAGCTGTGAATGTTTCAGCTGATCACCTTGATTTGCATTCAATGGCCTGGAAGCGCCTGGGGGGAATCTCTTGTTGAGAGTGATTTTATGTGCCTGTTTGTTTCCCCTCTGTTGTAAAATCACTCTCAACAAAAGATTCCCCCCAGGCGCTTCCAAGCCATTGAATGCAAATCAAGGTGATCAGCTGAAACATTCACAGCTAGCCCCAGCAAACAAAAGTCCTTTGTCTCACCCTGGTCATTCCACAGATATATAAACCCATTTTTCCTAGTTCCAACAGACCTCACTACCTCTGAGGATGCTTGCCATAGATGCAGGCGAAACGTCAGGAGAAAAATTGCCTCCAGAACATGGCCATATAGCCCGGAAAAACCTACAACAACCCAGTGATTCCAGCCATGAAAGCCTTCGACAATACAACAACAACAACAACAACAACAACAATAATAATAATAATAATATAATAATAATAATTTGCTTATAGTGCAAAAGAGAAAGAATGAATACTGTAAAAATACATTCCAGAGCAGAAGAGAAAACTGGCAAAAGAAGGCTCTCCATGGACAGTTCCTGAGAAAAAATGAGAGCAAAATTGACAAAGAAAAAATATGGCTGTGGCTCACAAATGGAACTCTGAAAAAGGAGACAAAGGAGGGCCTGATTCTGGCAGCCCAAGAACAAGCCATTAGAACAAATGCCATCAAAGCTAGAATTGAAAAGTCAACGACAGATCCCAAATGTAGACTCTGCAAGGAAGTAGATGAAACAATAGATCACATCCTCAGCTGCTGTAAGAAAACTGCACAGACAGACTACAAGCAGAGGCATAACACCGTTGCTCAGATGATTCATTGGAACTTGTGCCACAAATACTATCTGCCTTCGACAAAGAACTGGTGGGATCACTTTTTCCACAAGCTGGAAAAAGTTACAGAGAATGAACACGTCAAGCTACTCTGTGACTTCCAAAATCAGACAGACTTTAGGAGCACAAGTTTAGGAGCACAAGTTAATAAACAAAGTATGGATTGTTGATGTTGCAATCCCAGGTGACAGCAGGATTGAAGAGAAACAACTGGAAAAGCTGACATGATATGAGGATTTAAATATCAAACTGCAAAGACTCTGGCACAAGCCAGTCAAGGTGGTCTCAGTGGTGATCGGGACACTGGTTGCAGTGCCTAAAGACCTTGGCCTGCACTTAAACACAATGAGTGCTGACAAAATTACTATCTGCCAGCTGCAGAAGGCCACCTTACTGAGATCTGCATGTATTATTCGCCGATACATCACACAGTCCTAGACACTTGGGAAGTGTCCAACGTGTGATCCAACACAACAGCCAGTAGAGTGATCTTGTCTTCTGTGGACTCATCTTGTTGTGTTTCTAATAATAATAATAATAATAATAATAATAATAATGCCAGTAAAGGTGGTCCCAGTGGTGATCGGCACACTGGGTGCAGTGCCTAAAGACCTTGGCCTGCACTTAAACACAATCGGCACTGACATAATCTGTCAGCTTTAAAAGGCCACCCTACTGGCATCTGCATGCATTATTTGCCGATACATCGCACTTGGGAAGTGTCTAGCATGTGATCCAATACAATAGCCAGCAGAGTGATATTGTTTGCAGTGTACTAATCTTGTTATATTTCAAATAATAATAATAATAGTAGTAATAATAATAATGCTTTATTCATAATCCACCCTCTCTCCCCAAAGGGACTCAGACCTGGTGTCTCAGATGTGGACTTTGAAAAGGCTCTAGCCTAAGAACTTTTTTGAAATGTTTCCTCCTTTGCTACTGAAGATTTAACAGTTGTTTTCTAGACAGAAAAAAATAACTACCTTTTATTTTTCCTTCTGAACTTTTGTTCTGGTTGAAGAAAGAAGACACCTGTCAAGAGTGCACACAAACGATTGCTGAGCTGCAAGAAGATGTGCAGAAAAGCCCCTTCCTCATTCAGACTTTAACTGCTTACGCCAAACAGCAATGTGAACATTTGAGGCCGGATTTGACAGATGAGGTAGATAACTTTTATTGTTTCACTCCAATTGCAAAGTGATATATCAATATGTCAAGATAGGCAAATGCCTGTTAAGATGTTGGATGTGTGTACGTCGATTGACTTCCCTGTTGACAGCATCAGAGGAAATGTGTGTGTGTGTGTGTGTGTGTGTGTGGAGGGGTGTCTGCACTGTAGAATTAGTGCAGTTTGACATCATTTTAACTGCTCATGCCAAATGCTATGGAATCGTGTCATTTTTTAAGGCCTTTAGCCTTTTCTGCCCAAAGCATGAACCACTTTCCCTGTGATGCATCACAACTGGCCAGGCAGATGAAAGGTGGGGTCCAACAATAATAATAATAATAATAATAATAATAATAATAATAATAATAATGATAATAATAATAATAATAATAATACTCCCCGAGGGGACTCAGAGGTAACATCACAAAACATACAATAGCCCTACTTTAGATGGAATTTTATTTTTAATAAGCATTTTTGCTTATGAAAAGCAAGCGCCTCTTAGGTTCGGCGTCACCAATGTCTATCATTTATTAGGGACAGGATGGAGACATCTAGCAATGGTTCTCACACCTTGTTTCGAATTATGATGCAATAAAATGGCCCTGCGTTTTATCCCTGCTCTATTATTACCTTTTTAGTATTTGCACATGGTAGTTGGAGAAAGAATTGTTTTCTTTTGCAAGGTTGTAGAGAAACAGGCCCAAATTCCCTCCTAATATGTGGACAATCCAATTTGAACGGGTGAAGTCAAAGCAGGAAATACTACACTGAAATATCCTTGCCAAAAACGTAGGGTTGAGGGCTTGGATCTCAGTCAAGACCATTGTTCATATGCACACCAGCACGAACCTGTCTGTCCAGTAGCATTTCTTCCCACCTGCTGCCCTATTTGAATTCTCCAACTGGGCTATCCAGTTCAGTCCATTGCTAACTGGCAAAAAGTGAATGCCAACCATTTATTGGTGCTCAGGCATTCCTGGAATAAATCAGCCTGCATTTAGGGATTTTATTTAAATTCCAAGGGTTAATTACACTATGTAACAATGCAACAAAATTTGAAAAAAAATCTGTTCCTGGTTTCAAAGTCTTAATTCCTGTTTCATTGTGCGGTACTTACTTTGAAGGTAGCTGTTATACTCCAGAAACTTTGTTATTGTGGCTGCCACAAACAATCTTGAATTGGTTGAGACTCTATGAGATAGTCATTGAAAAACTCTAGCCAAATGTGCTGCAGGATGTCCCACAAAAACAAAGTTTTTGCGATTTAATAAACTTTCCCCCATGTTTTTATGATAGAACCAATTAGGAATTGACATATGTAACGCAAAAAAAAAAAAAAAAAAAAAAGGGGGGGGGATTATATCTATATAAATGAAAATGTAATGTTCGTTTGTGGGATTAACATAACTCAAAAACCACTGGACCAATTGACACCAAATTTGGACACAAGACCAAAAGGCCAACAAGTGACCATCATTCATAAAAAAACTGAAAAACATAACGGAAGAGACTTTAAAAGCCAAAATACAAAAAATACATTACAACGTATGCACAAAACCATACACACATACACTAGCTGTCCCCTGCCACGCGTTGCTGTGGCCCAGTCTGGTGATCTGGAAAATAAAGTAATGAGAAAGTGTTGGTTTCTAATATATGTAATTCCTTTATGCTTGCGAGTAAACGGTATTTCTTGTTGTTTCATTGTCAGTGTTGATGTGGAGAGTGTCTGGTTTGCCTACTCTGGAATATGCAACATATCATAGTCCTTCTTTAAGGGTCTCTTTCAAATCTATGATACTATATCTGTGTGTGTGTGTGAGAATCATATCTATCTATCTATATTTATGACTGGATGGCTCTTTGTCAGGAGGGCTCTGATTACATTTTCTTGCCCTGATGAAGAGAGGTGGACTGGATGGCCTTAAGTATTTTCTGTTGGTCATCGTGGTTCTGTGTGGGAAGTTTGCCCCATTTCTGTGGTTTGTGGGGTTCAGAATGCTCTTTAATTGTAGTAAACTATAAATCCCAGTAACTACAAGTCCCAAATGTCAAGGTCTATTTCCTTCAAACTCCATCTGTGTTCATATTTAGGCATATGGAATTTTTGTGTCAAGTTTGGTCCAGATCCATCATTGTTTGAGTCCACAGTGCTCTCTGGATGTAGGTGAACTACAACTCCCAAACTCAAGGTCAATGCCCACCAAACCCTTCCAGTGTGTTCTGTTGGTCATGGAAGTCCTGTATGCCATTTTTGGTTCAATTCCATCATTGGTGGAGTTCAGAATGCTCTTTGACTGTAGGTGAACTATAAATCCCAGTAAGTACAATCCCAAATGTCAAGGTCTATTTCCCTTAAACTCCATCTGTGTTCATATTTGGGCATATGGAATATTTGTACCAAGTTTGGTCCAGATCCATCATTGTTTGAGTCCACAGTGCTCTCTGGATGTGGGTGAACTATAATTCCCAAACTCAAGGTCAATGTCCACCAAACCTTTCCAGTTTTTTCTGTTGGTCATGGGAGCCCTGAGTGCTAAGTTTGGCCCAATTCCATCATTGGTGGAGTTCAGAATGCTCTTTGATTGTAGGTAAACTATAAATCCCAGAAACGACAATTCCCAAATGACAAAATCAATTTTTTTGAGTGGAGGACATAAATTGGACTGTTAGGTGTCTTGTGTCCAAATTTGGTGTCAATTCCCCCAATGGTTTTTGAGTTCTGATGGTAGCACGAACTAACATTACATTTTTATTTATATAGATATGCAAACACATATACACATATACACAAAAATATACGCACATATACACACCCAAAACACATATACACAGACTGGGCCACAGCAACAAGTGGCATGGGACGGCTAGTCTATATAAATAAAAATGTAAAGTTCGTTTGTGGGATTAACATAACTCAAAAACCACTGGGCGAATTGACACAAAATTTGGACACAATACACCCATCAGGCCAACAAGTGATCATTACTCATAAAAAACACTGAAAAACACAGCAGAAGAGATTTAAAAAGCAAAAAAAAAAAAAAAACCCATTACAACGTATGCACAAAACCACATATATACACAAATATATATAGACATATATACACACCCAAAACACATATACACAGACTGGGCCACAGCAACATGTTGCAGGGGACAGCTAGTATCTATATAAATAAACATGTAATGTTCATTTGTGGGACTAACATAACTCAAAAATGGATGGATTGCCGCCAAATTTGGCCACAAGACACCTACTAACCCAAGGAGTGACCATCACTCAAAAAATTTATTTTATCAATTGGGAGTTGTAGTTACTGGGATTTATAGTTCACCTACAATCAAAGAGCATTCTGAACTCCACCAACGGTGGAATTGAACCTTGGCACACAGGACTCCCAAGACCAACAGAAAACACTAGAAAGGTTTGGTGACAATTGACCTTGAGTTTTGGAGTTGTAGTTCATCTACATCCAGAGAGGACTGTGGACTCAAACAATGATGGGTCTGAACCAAACTTGGCATGAATATTCCATATGCCCAAAGATGAACAAAGATGGAGTTTGGGGGGAAATAGACCTAGACATTTGGGAGTTGTAGTTACTGGGATTAATAGTTCACCTACAATGAAAGAGCATTCTGAACCCCACCAATGACAGAATTGGGGCAAACTTCCCACACAGAACCCCCATGATCAACAGAAAATACTTAAGGCCATTCAGTCCAACTCCCTTCACCAGGGCAAGAAAACATAATCAAACCCCTCCTGACAAAGAGCCATCAAGCCATAGATATAGATAGATAGATATGATTCACACACACAGAAATATAGCCCCAGGTGGCGCAGTGGGTTAAAGCCTTGTGCTGGCAGGACTGAAGACCGACAGGTCGCAGGTTCGAATCCCAGGAGAGGCGGATGAGCTCCCTCTATCGGCTCCAGCTCCTCATGCGGGGACATGAGAGAAGCCTCCCACAAGGGTGATAAAACATCAGAAATCATCCGAGCATCCCCTGGGCAATGTCCTTGCAGATGGCCAATTCTCTCACAACAGGAGCGGTTGCTCCTGACACGACAAAAAAAAGAAAAAAGAAAAAAGAAAAAAAGAAATATAGTATCCTTGATTTAAAAGGACCCCAAAAGAAGGACAATTATATGTTGCATGTTCCAGAATAAGCAGACCAGACAATCTCTACATCAACACTGACAAAGAAAAAACAAGAAATACCGTTATTTATTTATGTATTTATTTATTTATTTATTTATTTCGGGTATTTTTACCCCACCCTTCTCAACCCTCGGGGGGGGGGGGGACTCAGGGCGGCTTCCGGCCGGCACATATTCGATGCCTACAGTTAAACACAATAAAATACACAACAAACAGTAATTAAAACATTGAGTTAATACAATAAAATCTACTAGATTTTAGCCATCTTTTCGCCGAGTTCTGTAATGAGTGATTCCATTTAGCTTATCATAATCTGTTTCCATAGCTCTTCTCATCATTGTCCTTGTCAGTCTGCCAGATTACCCAAAGGCCTGGTCCCATATCCATGTTTTTAATTTCCTTCTAAAAGAGAGGAGGGATGACTATGATCTAATTTCCCCAGGGAGTGAATTTCACAGGTGATGGGCCACCACCGAGAAGGCCCTGTCCCTCGTCCCTGCCAGTCTCATTTGTGACAAGGGTGGGGCCGAGAGCGGGGCCTCCTCAGAAGATCTTAAATTCCTAGGCGGGACGTAGATGGAGATATGTTGGGACAGGTACGCTGGGCCAGAGCCGTATACCCGCAAGCATAAAGAAATTACATATTTTAGAAAGCAACATTTTCTCATTACTTTATTTTCCAGATAACCAGACTGGGCCACAACAACGAGTGGCGGTGGACAGCTAGTAGTGTTATAAATACTTTAAAATCAGGAGTAGGAAAGTGTTCTTCACAGGCTGAGCTCCTGCCAGTACCTTGGGAAGTCTGACTTGGCCATGGTGGTACACGCTCTGGTCACATCCCGCCTTGACTACTGCAACGCTCTCTACGTGGGGCTGCCCTTAAAGACGGCCCGGAAGCTTCAGCTAGTCCAGCGCGTGGCAGCCATGTTACTAACAGGAGCGGGACGCAGGGAGCATACAACGCCCTTGCTGTTCCAGCTCCACTGGCTGCCGATTTGCTACCGGGCCCAATTTAAGGTGCTGGTGTTATCCTACAAAGCCCTAAACGGTTCCGGCCCAAAATACCTTTCGGACCGCATCTCGGCCTATGAGCCCACGAGGGCCTTGAGATCATCTGGGGAGGCCCTTCTCTCGATCCCGCCTGCTTCACAGGCACGTCTGGCGGGGACGAGAGAAAGGGCCTTCTCGGTGGTGGCCCCCCGGCTGTGGAACGACCTCCCTGCTGACATCAGACAGGCGCCTTCCCTTCTGTCCTTCCGTAAGAGCCTGAAGACCTGGCTATTTGAGAAGGCATTCAACTGAGCGCTACGGCAACTGGTAATTGACAACTGGAACGGAATACGGATTACGATATTGGTTATGATTCTATGATGTGACGGAGCGGATTATTTAGTGTAACTAGATTATAGTGTATTATTGTTGTATTGATTTCCTGTTTTGCCCTTTTTGTAAACTGTTTTTATATGTTGTGCACCGCCGCGAGTCGCCCTAGGGCTGAGAGCGTCGGTCAATAAATGCAGTAAATAAATAAATAAATAAATTATATGTTCCCTACTATTTGGTTAAGCTTACAGGAATTGCTATAAGTTGCAGTTGCAAATGGCATCTTGCATGCTTTGGAGATAGCATGTCATTTTGCAAAATGTGCATCAACAAGCTGATGATGATGATGATCAGGAGTTCATTCATTATTAGTAACTACAGTTCTTTCACTTCTGCAGTGCAAGAAGTATGCCTTTGAATATGCCCACGCATTCGTGCAACTGCTGATCGACCTCTTGGTAAGTTAAATGCACCAGCAAGGTGTCTCTTTCAAGCAGTGTGGTGCTTATTGGCCACACTCATTAATAATGAAAAGCCCTGTGCCATTTTACAAAACTGAACTAGATATCTTGAGCTTCCCATACGCGAGGGTTGGTGGTATTAAGTCAACATTGTATTTGGAATAGAGAAGCAAAGGGTAGTGACGATTGCCTGTAAATGAGTTAACTACAAACAACTGTTCAGCACTGATTTTGTATATTGTCATTGTTATTTGCATTCAAGTTGACTTGACTTCTGATGACCCCATCACTGGATTTTTTTTTTTTTGCAAGGGTTGTAACTGTTTTCCTTTTAGGCTGAGGCTTCTTCTGCACTGCCTTATAAAATCCAGATTTTATTTATTTATTTATTTACAGCTTTTATATTCTACCCTTTTCACCCCGCAGGGGACTCAGGGCGGATTACAGTGTACACATATATGGCAAACATTCAATGCCAATTTTTAACATACAAACATATACAGACATACACAGAGGCTATTTAACTTTTTTTCTGGCCGCCAGGGGAGCTGTCGCTTTCATCGTCCTTCTGCGATGCTGATGAAGCACTTCCGCATTCCCCGCATGCTTCCCTGCTGGAATGCTTTGCTGGAGTCTTCTTTATGGCCTCATAAATCAGTTAATTTAGCCTCCCCACACTTTTTAAGGTGGTACCTAATTTTCCTACTTGACAGATGCAACTGTCTTTCGGGTTGCAAAGGTCGACAACAGGCTACACGCAATTGGTTGGAAACCCACTCCAACCCGGGCTGGCTTCGAACTCATGACCTTTTGGTCAGAGTGATCTTAATGCAGCTGACACTCAGCCAGCTGCGCCACAATCCCGGTGCAGATTATCTGCTTTGAACTGGATTATCTGTCAACAGAGACTCATATAATCCAGCTCAAAACAGATGATGATGATAATAATAAATAATAATAATAAATAAATAAACTTTATTTATACCCTGCCACCATCTCCCCAAGGGGACTCGGGGCGGCTTACATGAGGCCAAGTCCATTAACACATCAGTAACACAACAAAGCAGTAAGCAAATAAAACAATACAATTAATATGGAGCCCCCGGTGGCGCAGTGGGTTAAAGCACTGAGCTGCTGAGCTTGTTGATCGAAAGGTCGCAGGTTCGATTCCGGGGAGCAGTGTGAGCTTCCGCTGTCAGCCCTAGCTTCTGCCAACCTAGCAGTTCGAAAACATGCAAATATGAGTAGATCAATAGGTACCGCTCCAGCGGGAAGGTAACGGCGCTCCATGCAGTCATGCCGACCACATGATCTTGGAGGTGTCTATGGACAACGCTGGCTCTTCGGCTTAGAAATGGAGATGAGCACCACACCCCAGAGTCAGACATGACTGGGCTTAATGTCAGGGGACTACCTTTACCTTTACCTTAACACAACAAAGCAGTAAGCAAATAAAACAATACGATTAATATAACTTACATATTTATTTATTTTTATTTATTTATTATTCAAACTTATATGCCGCCACTCCCCTGGGGCTCGGAGCGGCTTACAAGAACAGGCTAAAATCTAACACAATTTAAAAACAATTTAAAACAATTTAAAAACAGCAATATCAAAGATCAAAGGCCTGTCGAAACAGATATGTCTTACATGCCCTGCGGAAAGCTGGTAAGTCCCGCAAGGCACGGACTTCAGGTGGCAGAGTATTCCAGAGTGATGGTGCCACTGCTGTAAAGGCTCTGCGTCTGGTTGCTGTTAGATGCAAGGTCTTGACATTGGGAATTTCCAACAAATCTTGGTCCTCAAAACAGAGGGATCTCTGGGGTTGGTAGGGGGAGAGGTGGTCCCTCAGGTACATCGACAATATATAGGTATGTAGGCAATAACACACAAGAATTTAAAACCTATGGCCGGGCCAGATGTAAAAGATTAATATTTTAAAATAAACACTGGGCGTGCACAGAGGTAGGATGTAGCTAAGTAGGAGGGTTTTAAAGGATAATGTAGAGAGTGCAACCCAACGGATGATGTGGATTATCTGCTTTGATAATCTGGATTGTATGGTAGTGTGGAAGGGGCCCGAAAGAGTGAGTTTCCTTTCCAGTGCTAAGTGTGAATTTAAACCCTGGCTCCCTGCTCTAATATTTAGTAGGGATGTGAGAGAAGGGAGGGAAGAAGGAAAGAGAGAAGGAAGGGTGGAAGCAAAAATCGAAGGAAGGAAAGAAAGGCAGAGAAGGAAGGAAGGAGAGAAGGAAAGAAGAAAACAAAAGGAATAAAGGAAAGAAGGAGCAAAGGAAGCAGGGAAAGAAGGAGAGAAAAAGGGGGGAAGGTTGGCCACAGCAACACGTGGCGGGTACAGCTAGTCTGGAAAATAAAAATGAAAGACTTTTCTTAGTCCAAGACTTAAAAAGCCAGTATGTTACTCATTATTAAACTGGGGGGAAAGAATCCTGAAGTGAGGAGCAGTTGTGCTAGTCAATAGTAGCAAAAGCACCAGAGCTTTTGAAGAATATATACAGTACAGAGTGGGGATCATGTAGCCCTACAGATGTTGTTGAACAATGACTTCCAACATTGGTTATATCGAGTTGGGCCACTGGGGACACCTAGAGTTGTGATTCTCGAACTCTAGTCTCCCAGATGTTTTGGACTTCAGCTCCCCAAATTCCTGTTGATTAAGCTATTTGGAGATCCTGTGGTTCAAAGTTCAAAACACCCAAGGAACCAAAGTTCCTGTTCATCCTTGAGCTTGTCAGATGTAATCTGAGTTCAAAGAAGCAGCTGACAGGCTGTTCCCCTTTGGAGGCTGGGTGTGGTCCAGTTTATCCCGTGACTCCTGTATGACTAGATATCTTCATTATCTTCCGTCGGTGCAGCCCTATTCTGAAGGTGTCATTTCACACCTAAGGAATAATATCTTAATTTTCCTACCATTGGGACATCCATCTCATACTTTGCCTCTGTTGGAAGAATTGCACTTTCTAAGGATGATGATTAGTACATTTATTTATTTACGATATTTTTACCCCGTCCTCAGGACGGCCTCACAACAAGCACCATACTATAATAAAACATTCAACAAATACTTTAAGAACATTAAAACAGATTAATTAAAAACAATTGATTAAACAGGCCAGTTATAAACCAAATCCAAGTCTTTCCATCTTGTCTTCTGTCTTTCCTAATAATATAATATAGTATATTGTGTGTACATATAATATAATGTAATACAATATAATACTAGTAATAATAATACAATATTATAATTATATATTTACATTATATGTAATATTATTAATGATATTACAATATAATGGTATAGTGCAATATAGTAATATCTAATACTGATATTGTACTATGCTAATAATATAATATATTGTATGAAAATTTGTATTGTAAGCCACTCTGAGTCCCCTTCGGGGTGAAAAGGGCGGCATATAAATGCCGTAAATAAATAAATAAATAAATAAATAAATAAATAAATAAATAAATAAAGTCTGGGTCAATTCATTGTCACGAGTTGCCTAAGTCTTCTTTCCACTTGCTGCTATTCAATGGTCGAATGCCTGGTCCCATAGCCAAGTCTTAAGTTTCCTTCTAAAAGACAGGAGGGAGGTGGCCAGTCTGATGTCCCTGAGGAGAGAGTTCCACAGATGGGGGGCCACTGCTGAGAAGGCCGTGTCCCTCATTCCCACCAATTGCGTTTGCGATGGCAGTGGGATCGAGAGCAGGGCCTCTCCAGATGATCTTAAACTTCGTGATGGTTTGTAACAGGAGGTATGTTCAAACAGGTAGTCTGGGCCAGAACCGTTTAGGGCTTTAAAGGTTAAAACCAGCACTTTGAATTGTGCTCGGAAGCTGATAGGTAGCCAGCGTAACAGAGGGGTTGTATATTCCTTGTACGCAGCTCTGGTGAACAACCTGACTGCCGACCGTTGGACTAGTTTCCGGGCAGTCTTCAAAGGCAGCCCCATGTAGAGTGCATTGCAGTAGTCTAGTCAGGATGTAACAAGAGTGTGGACCACCATGGCCAAGTCAGACTTCCCAAGGTATGGGCGCAGCTGGCGCACAAGTTTTAATTGTGCAAAAGCTCTCCCGGCCACCGTCGAGACTGGAGTTTAAGATCGTCTGGGGAGGCCCAGCTCTCGGCCCCACCTCTATCACAAGTGAGGTTGGTGGGGACGAGGAGCAGGGCCTTCTCGGTGGTGGCCCCTCACCTGTGGAATTCACTCCCCGGGGAAATTAGGTCATCGACATCCCTCTTCTCTTTTAGAAGGAAATTAAAAACATGGATATGGGACCAGGCTTTTGGGTAATCTGGCAGATAGACAAAGGACAATGACGACTAGAATTGATAGGATTTGACAATGTGGAATGAATTTATGGACTCTGAGCTGGCAAACGTTGAGCATGAGATTGGTTTTATTGATTATGATGTATAATTGATTGTTTTAATTGTTTATAATTGCTGTTTATATATGTTTTATCTTATTGTGTTGGCATCAAATTGTGCCTTTTGTAAGCCGCTCTGAGGCCTCCCTTGCGGGTTGAGAAAGGCGGGGTAGAAATGTGCGAAATAAATAAATAAAATAAATAAATTCCAGGCTCAGTGGTGAATCTAGAATCGCTCCCTTGATGTATTACATGGTTTTGGCAAGTGAATTTTTAATTTAATTTTAAAAAGAATCAACTATTTCAGTTATTAGAGGTTGCTCTTTTGAGTTCCTTTCTCATGATTCTAACTTTCTCTCCCCCCTTTCTATGTCTACTTCGTTGCTGACTGCAGGACCGGGTAAGTGATAATATTACCAGGTTTGATTTTTCATTCCTAAAGTTATTTTTTGTTGAGAATTTGCCCTGGCTTGACAAAAGGCAACAGGTTATAATGAAGGTGGACATTGGAGAATGATTTGGTTTTGATTAAGATTCAGAAAGACCTTTATTGGGAGATTACAAAACACCAAATGTCTGTCTAATGATTCTCCGGAGGGCTCTCAGCCACTGCATGCCTTCCTCGGGTTGTCCTCTTAGCACAGTGGTTCTCATCCTGGGGTCCCCAGATGTTTTTGGCCTACAACTCCCAGAAATCCCAGTCAATTTACCAGCTGTTAGGATTTCTGGGAGTTGAAGGCCAAAAACATCTGGGGACCCCAGGTTGAGAACCACTGTCTTAGCATAAGGACAGGGCCGCTTGCACCATCCTTATGCCAGTGACAAAGAACACTTCAAAGGGCTCTCAGCTGTAGTGTGCCTTCCTCTTCCGTCCTTTCCGCACAAGGATTCAGTGGGCCACTGTGTCCTTATTCTGAGAGGATAGGGAAAATGAGGATGGCCTGAGGTAAGCACCCAGGGGCCGCATCTGGCCCACAGACCTTAGTTTGCCCATGTCTGCTCTATAACCAAAAGAGGAATAGTATTGTCATCTAATTTTAAACCTAATAATAATTGCATCTTATTTATTATTTATTTCTTTACGACACTTATATGACGCACTTCTCACCCCAAAGGGGACTCAGAGTGGCTTACAAGTAATATGTAAATACAATACATTATATTATTACCATAGCACAATATTAGTATTATATATTACTATATTATACTATATCATTATACTGTAATCTATATATATATAAATGCTCTGTGCATAATGAGTTCCTTAAAAACAAAAGAACCAATGAACGAAATCACACCAAATTTGGCAATAAAATGTCTCACAACACCAGGAGTTACCATCACTCAAAAAATTATGATTTTGTTATTTGGGAGTTGTAGTTGCTGGGATTTATAGTTCACCTACAATCAAAAAGTATTCTGAACTCCATCAGCGATGGAATTGAACCAAACTTGGCACACAGAACTCCCATGACCAACAGCAAATACTGGGAGGGTTTGGTGGGCACTGACCTTGAGTTTGGGAGTTGTAGTTCACCTACATCCAGAGAGCACTGTGGACTCAAACAATGATGGATCTGGACCAAACTTGGGACAAGCACTCAATACGCCCAAATATGAACACAGATGGCATTTGGGGAAATAGACCTTGATATTTGGGAATTGTAGGTACTGGGATTCACAGTTCACATACGATCAAAGAGCATTCTGACCCCCACAAACGACAGAATCAGGGTAAACTTCCCACACAGAACCCCCATGATCAACAGAAAATACTTAAGGCCATCCAATCCAACTCTCTTCATCAGGGCAAGAAAACATAATCAAAGTCCTCCTGACAAAGAGCCATCCAGCCATAGATATAGATAGATAGATAGATAGATAGATAGATAGATAGATAGATAGATATGATTCACACACACACACACACAGATATAGTATAGATTTGAAAAGGACCCTTAAAGAAGGACAATGATATCTTGCATGTTCCAGAGTAGGCAAACCAGACACTCTCCACATCAACACTGACAAAGAAACAGCAAGAAATACTGGTTACCCACAAGCAGAAAGAAATTACATATATTAGAAACCAAGAATTTCTCATTCCTTTATTTTCCAGATCAACAGACTGGGCCACAGCAACGCGTGGCAGGAGACAGCTAGTGCTATCTATATAAATAAAAATGTAATGTTAGTTTGTGGGATTAAAACCACAGGACAAATTGACACCAAATTTGGATACTACACCCCAAACAGACTGACGAGTCACCATCACTCATAAAAACACTGAAAAACCAGTGGAAGGGACTTAAAAAGCCAAAAATATAAAAAATACATTACAATGCATGTGCAAAACCACATATATACACACACAAAACACATAAACAAACACAGCCTGGGCCACAGTAACACATGGCAGGGGATGACTAGTTATTAATAGAATCTTATATTTTCTGTATTATTCCGTGTTCTTTTTGTCTTCTCCTCTAGCTCTTCTTCATTAAAGGTTCATCTTGATTGTTCTTAATTAGATTATTTCCTTTTAATAAATCTTTTATCAAATTTTAATTATTGTCTAAATAATCTAAAGGTTTAATTTAATCTGTTAGTAAATTAATATTGTGTAGACAAAAATGTACTATGTATCACTGTCATGAATTTCTTAAGGAGTGTGTCAAGAATCGCACACATGTAGAATTCAAACATTTATTTTGGTACCTGTTATCAGTTTCTAAAAACCACAAAGACTCCCTGAAATGAATCTGTGCAATGATAACTTAGTGACAGCAAGAAATGTATTTTTATTTATTTATTTACGACATTTATATGCCGCCATTCTCACCCCGAAGGGGACTCAGAGCGGCTTAGAAGAAACAGTGGATTCTGACCTATTTAATCTCTTTTTTTCCTCCATCCAGCCCCCAAAGAGCATTTGTGAGGAAATCAGATTCTGTGACTCTACCCAAGCTGAGCCTTCCCCTACTTTGCCTGCCAGCCACCCTCCCGTCTTGCAAGCACCAGACACCATAGAGGTAAGCATAACAGCACCATCTTCTGGCGGGACGGGGAATGACAAGAGGCCAATGGTATTACCTAAACAAGTTGAACTCAGAACAACAGAGTGACTTCGGTGTTGCTGCTGCTGAAATTTGTTGAAAGCGGGGAAAGTCTGGACCAAGCTCAAGGGAAGCCAAATAAAATTTGACACAAAAGTAGACAATTTCTCATGTGTATTTTACAAATCCCGCTGTCAGGTGGGTGAAGAGAGAAATTGATTTGTCTAAAGCAAATAATTCTAGGAATATAGGAAGCCTTATGTCAAATTGGAGCCCCCGGTGGTGCAGTGGGTTAAAGCACTGAGCTGCTGAGCTAGTTGATCGAAAGGTCGCAGGTTCGATTCCGGGGAGCGGCGTGAGCTTCTGCTGTCAGCCCTAGCTTCTGCCAACCTAGCAGTTCGAAAACATGCAAATGTGAGTAGATCAATAGGTACCGCTCCGGCGGGAAGGTAACAGCGCTCTATGCAGTCATGCTGGCCACATGACCTTGGAGGTGTCTACGGACAACGCTGGCTCTTCGGCTTAGAAATGGAGATGAGCACCACACCCTAGAGTCAGACATGACTGGGCTTAATGTCAGGGGACTACCTTTTACCTACCTATGTCAAATTAGGCATTGTTTTATCAGGATCAGTCATGTCGAATCTGATAGCAGCAGGTAGGGTTGATTTTTTTTGTCATGTCAGGAGAAACTTGAGAAACTGCAAGTCGCTTCTGGTGTGAGAGAATTGGCCATCTGCAAGGACATTGCCCAGGGGATGCCCAGATGTTTTTGATGTTTTACCATCCTTATGGGAGCCTTCTCTCATGTCCCCGCATGAGGAGCTGGAGCTGATAGAGAGAGCTCATCCGCACTCTCCCCAGATTCAAACCTGCGACCTGTCGGTCTTCATTCCCGCCGGCACAGGGGTTTAACCCACTGTGCCACCGGGGGCTCCTAGCTTAGAGGTAGCCTGACTGTTACTACCTGGCTGTCGGGAGGTGTTAATTGGCACTTGGTTGTTTGCTGTCTGGAATTGCTCTGTTTCTAAGAGAAAGGAGGAAACTATGTTTCCGAATGAAAGGAGGAAACAGAAAGGAAGAAGCCAGGTAAATAAACAAAATCTGTATTGTTGAAGGCACCTAAAAACAGTCAGGCCATCAAATGCTAATCAAATTGGCCAACTGAAACATTCATAGAATCACAGAATCAAAGAGTTGGAAGAGACCTCATGGGCCACCCAGTCCAACCCCCTGCCAAGTTCAGGAATATTGCATTCAAATCACCCCTGACAGATGGCCATCCAGCCTCTGTTTAAAAGCTTCCAAAGAAGGAGCCTCCACCACACTCTGGGGCAGAGAGTTCCACTGCTGAACGGCTCTCACAGTCAGGAAGTTCTTCCTCATGTTCAGATGGAATCTACTCTCTTGTAGTTTGAAGCCATTATTCCACGTCCTAGTCTCCAAGGAAGCAGAAAACAAGCTTGCTCCCTTCTCCCTGTGGCTTCCTCTAACATATTTATACATGGTCTTCATCATATCTCCTCTCAGCCTTCTCTTCTTCAGGCTAAACATGCCCAGCTCCTTAAGCCGCTCCTCATAGGGCTTCTTCTCCAGACCCTTGATCATTTTAGTTGCCCTCCTCTGGACACATTCACACCTAGCTCCAACAGACAAGAGTTCTTTCTCCCACCCTGGACCTTCCACAGATATATAAACGGAGTTTTCCAGTTTCCAACAAACCTCCCAATCTCTGAGGATGCTTACCACAGATGCAGGCGAAACGTCAGGAGAGAATGCTTCTAGAACATGGCCATACAACCCGAAAAACCTACAACAACCCAACAAAATCTGGTTACCAGGATTTTTTTAAAAAAACAAAAACACCAGAATCAAGATAGTAAATAAAGAACACCACTCAGAATAGGGGAAAAACGTCTGAGGTGAAATATCAGGAGAGAATGCTACTGGAACATATTAGCCATACAGCCCAGAAAAACCTACAGCAATGTTTTTGTGGTTATATCTAATTACAGGGATAGTTTAAAATTAAAAATAATATTTTTTTTGCTGAAGCACTGCCCAAAAGTTTGCAGACAAACCATTTTGGTGTTACTACCTCTGATGGTGTCACCCAGTATGGGTTGTTGTAGGTTTTTTCGGGCTATATGGCCATGGTCTAGAGGCATTCTCTCCTGACGTGGCAAGATGCACCTCACTACCTATGAGGATGCTTGCCATAGATGCAGGCAAAACGTCAGGAGAGAATGCCACTAGATCATGGCCATATAGCCCGAAAAAACCTACAATAACCCAGTGATTCCGGCAATGAAAGCCTTCGACAATACATCACCCAGTATGGTTTGTAGCCCCTTCACACACCTCTCTAGTGATATCATTGGCTCTCTAGGACTCTTACTTCGAGATCCCACATGCAAAGCACATACCCTTCTAATAAGTTGGAGCCTTACATCCATTTTCCTTGTGAGAAAAATCAGAAGTTTATTAAGTTTTGATATATTTCTTCACTTCAAAGCCAAAGCAGCTGTAAGCATTAGCCACAGCAAAGACATTCGAAAGTTGGTATTATAGGACAATGCTGTTATTGTATTAAGTCAATGGCTATGAAATCAAATACAAGCTTCAGTGTTCACCACCACTCCTCATTGGCCTACATAGGAACGGGATATATTTTAGTGTTAGATGAAGCCAAGGAGTCTGCATTTAATTGCAATCCTAAATTGGAACATGAGAGGAGGCTGCTGACATTAACATCCGACTCGATCATGGGACAGGAATTTTGTGAGCTTCTAAACATTGCTGGAGCCCAACTCTCAGCATTTTTCACTGTTTACTCAGCATAATGAAGGTTGCCATTCAACATTTGAAGGGCTATACCATTCTTAGCCCTGCTTTATCTGATATTGCTGTAGCTTCAAGTTACAACAAGAACTGTCCAGAGAGTGCTGCTGAAATGAATGTATTTATTTCTTTGTCGTGTCAGGGAAACCAGTCAATTATATTACATTTCTAACAGAACAAAGCAAACAAACAGACAAAATACAAAATTTGTGAGTTTGGTAGTTGATTAAATGTCCTTTGACCAGTATCTGGCCACTTGGAGTGCCTCTGGTGTTGCCGCAAGAAGGTCCTCCATTGTGCATGTGGCAGGGCTCAGGTTGCATTGCAGCAGGTGGTCAGTGGTGTGCTCTTCTCCACACTCGCATGTCAGGATTCCACTTTGTAGCCCCATTTCTTAAGGTTGGCTCTGCATCTCGTGGTGCCAGAGCGCAGTCTGTTCAGCAACTTCCAAGTCGCCCAGTCTTCTGTGTGCCCAGGGGGGAGTCTCTCATTTGGTATCAGCCATTGATTGAGGTTGAGCCTGCCACTTTTGGACTGTCGCTTGCTGAGGTGTTCCAGCGAGTGTCTCTGTAGATCTTAGAAAACTATTTCTTGATTTAAGTCGTTGACGTGCTGGCTGATACCCAAACAGGGGATGAGCTGGAGATGTCTCTGCCTTGGTCCTTTCACTATTGGCTGCTACTTCCCGGCGGATGTCAGGTGGTGCAATACCGGCTAAGCAGTGTAATTTCTCCAGTGGTGTGGGGCGCAGGCACCCCGTGATAATGCGGCATGTCTCATTGAGAGGCACATCCACCGTTTTAGTGTGGTGAGATGTGTTCCACACTAGGCATGCATACTCAGCAGCTGAGTAGCATAGCACAAGGGCAGGTGTCTTCACTGTATCTGGTTGTGATCCTCAAGTTGTGCCAGTCAGCTTTCGTATGATATTGTTTCTAGCGCCCACTTTTTGCTTGATGTCCAGGCAATGCTTCTTGTAGGTAAGAGCATGGTCCAGAGTGACTCCCAGGTATTTGGGTGTGCTGCAATGCTCCAGTGGGATTCCTTCCCATGTGATCTTCAGAGCTCGGGATGCTTCTATGTTCTTGAGATGAAAGGGACATGTCTGTGTTTTAGATGGGTTGGAGATCAGCTGGTTTTCCCTGTAATAGGCAGTAAGAGCACCTAGAGCTTCGGAAAGCTTCTGTTCTACCATCTCAAAGCTCCCTGCTTGAGTGGTAATGGCACGATCATCAGCATAGATGAAACTCTCTGTCCCTTCTGGCAGTGGCTGGTCATTTGTGTAGATGTTGAACATGGATTGAACAAGCACGCTCCCCTGAGGCAGGCCGTTCTTCTGTTTCCGCCATCTGCTTCTCTGGCCCTGGAACTCAACAAAAAAGCTCCTGTTTTGTAGCAGGTTTGTAGTGACCAGCATGCTGAAATGAAGAAAGCAACATACACTAATGGATCAGAAATACAAAATCCAGTTGTTGATAACATGAGTGGCATTTCTCAGAATGAAAGAGGGTGTTTGAACATACTTGGCATGAATGTATTGTCGAAGGCTTTCATGGCCAGAATCACTGGGTTGTTGTAGGCTTTTCGGGCTGTATGGCCATGTTCTAGAAGCATTCTCTCCTGAGGTTTTGCCTGCTTGTGTGGCAATTTCCACTACCTTGACAGCCACCTCTCCACAAAAGTCAACATTGATACTGAAATACAATGCCACATGAGCTCTGCGAGTGCAGCATTTTCCCGAACGAAGCACAGAGTGTTTGAGGATTGGGACATCCGTAGGGATACCAAGGTGCTTGTTTGTAAAGCTATTGTCCTCCCAACCCTGCTATATGCCTGCAGGACGTGGACTATCTACAGACGTCACATGCCACTCCTAGAACATGGCTATTTGAAGAACTGGGAACTACATTGGTGAAATAACACCAAAGGGATGTGCCTTTTCTTTTCCATCCAGGAATTATTTTTGTCTAAGCCCTAGCATATATGGTTGGACTATATGACTTTTATGTGTCCTGTTTTAAAGACAGTTGCATGTGATTGTTTTTAACCCTATGCCTTGCAGAAAAACTCAAATGGAGAAAATTCCTACGTGCTTTGTGATGTGTGTAAGGAAATGATACGGGTAGCAGAGAAGATGGTGGAGAACAACGCCACAGAAGTACGTAATGATAAATATTAGGCTTGTATGATTAAAAAATGCTTCAAAACTCATTTCGGATGTTGGTGGTTCAATTCTAAAGTCAATTCCAATGTACACAAAAAAAATGTTCAAAACTTTTCAAAACTTCCGAGACTTCCGAATGCTTCTTTAATGGTTTGAAAGTGTTATTTCCTGTTTCATTGGGTGGTCTTTACTTTGAAAGTGGTTGTTTTACTCCAGAAAGGGGGGGGGGGGGGCAAAGGGAGGAAAGTCAGCCACTCAGTTTTAAAACGCTTCCCAGACTCGAGACCAGAAGTGAGGGGAGAGGAAGGGCAGGAAATCCATCTAGTCTGGTTTAAAACGCTTCCCAGGCTCGAGACCAGAAGTGAGGGGAGAGGAAGGGCAGGAAATCCATCTAGTCTGGTTTAAAACGCTTCCCAGGCTCAAGACCACAAGTGAAGAGAGAGGAAGGGCAGGAAATCCATCTAGTCTGGTTTAAAACGCTTCCCAGGCTTGAGACCAGAAGTGAGGGGAGAGGAAGGGCAGGAAATCCATGTAGTCTGGTTTAAAATGCTTCCCAGGCTCGAGACCAGAAGTGAGGGGAGAGGAAGGGCAGGAAATCCATCTAGTCTGGTTTAAAATGCTTCCCAGGCTTGAGACCACAAGTGAGGGGAGAGGAAGGGCAGGAAATCCATCTAGTCTGGTTTAAAACGCTTCCCAGGTTCGAGACCAGCAGTGAGGGGAGAGGAAGGGCAGGAAATCCATGTTGTCTGGTTTAAAACGCTTCCCAGGCTCGAGACCAGAAGTGAGGGGAGAGGAAGGGCAGGAAATCCATCTAGTCTGGTTTAAAACGCTTCCCAGGTTCGAGACCAGCAGTGAGGGGAGAGGAAGGGCAGGAAATCCATCTAGTCTGGTTTAAAATGCTTCCCAGGCTCGAGACCAGAAGTGAGGGGAGAGGAAGGGCAGGAAATCCATCTAGTCTGGTTTAAAATGCTTCCCAGGCTTGAGACCACAAGTGAGGGGAGAGGAAGGGCAGGAAATCCATCTAGTCTGGTTTAAAACGCTTCCCAGGTTCGAGACCAGCAGTGAGGGGAGAGGAAGGCAGGAAATCCATGTTGTCTGGTTTAAAACGCTTCCCAGGCTCGAGACCAGAAGTGAGGGGAGAGGAAGGGCAGGAAATCCATCTAGTCTGGTTTAAAACGCTTCCCAGGCTCGAGACCACAAGTGAGGGGAGAGGAAGGGCAGGAAATCCATCTAGTCTGGTTTAAAATGCTTCCCAGGCTCGAGACCAGAAGCGAGGGGAGAGGAAGGGCAGGAAATCCATCTAGTCTGGTTTAAAACGCTTCCCAGGCTCGAGACCAGAAGTGAGGGGAGAGGAAGGGCAGGAAATCCATCTAGTCTGGTTTAAAACACTTCCCAGGCTCGAGACCAGAAGTGAGGGTAGAGGAAGGGCAGGAAATCCATCTATTCTGGTTTAAAACACTTCCCAGGCTCGAGACCAGTAGTGAGGGTAGAGGAAGGGCAGGAAATCCATCTAGTCTGGTTTAAAATGCTTCCCAGGCTCGAGACCAGAAGCGAGGGGAGAGGAAGGGCAGGAAATCCATCTAGTCTGGTTTAAAACACTTCCCAGGCTCGAGACCAGAAGTGAGGGGAGAGGAAGGGCAGGAAATCCATCTAGTCTGGTTTAAAACGCTTCCCAGGCTCGAGACCAGAAGTGAGGGGAGAGGAAGGGCAGGAAATCCATCTAGTTTAGTTTAAAACGCTTCCCAGGCTTGAGACCAGAAGTTAGGGGAGAGGAAGGGCAGGAAATCCATCTAGTCTGGTTTAAAACGCTTCCTAGGCTCGAGACCAGAAGTGAGGGGAGAGGAAGGGCAGGAAATCCATCTAGACTAGTTTAAAACACTTCCCAGGCTCGAGACCAGAAGTGAGGGGAGAGGAAGGGCAGGAAATCCATCTAGTCTGGTTTAAAACACTTCCCAGACTCGAGACCAAAAGTGAGGGGGAGAGGAAGGGCAGGAAATCCATGTAGTCTGGTTTAAAATGCTTCCCAGGCTTGAGACCAGAAGTGAGGGGAGAGGAAGGGCAGGAAATCCATTTAGTCTGGTTTAAAACACTTCCCAGGCTTGAGACCAGAAGCGAGGAAATGCTGAATCATTTCCGACTCACTTACTGCTTCGTAACAGAAATGGTGGAAAAAGCTTCAGAAGGGCAAATGGACTTCTGGTTCCCTTAAAAACTTCAAAATTGCTTCAAAAAGCAAATCTTTCCAAATTTCGAAGATTTCGACCGAACCTAATCATGCCTAATAAATATATCCTCTGTGATATGTTGGGGAATGATACTCTGGAAAATTTTATTCTGGAAAATTTCTCGCCTAGGAAGGGGGATGTACGTCCATCTAGATGTTGCAAAACTGCCACTTCTATCATCCTTCTTTGGTTATGTTGGTTAGGGCTGATGGGAGCTGCAGTCCAACAATAACTGGAGATCTACATGTTCCTGAAACTAAATTTATTTTTGAGATTTTCACAGCACTTGCACTCAGCTTCCTCATTTTGGTATCTGGAATCATTGTTTACCTTTTGTTTGTACGGAAGTTTCCATTTTTAGTCTGTGCTTATATGGAAACATCAAGTGGATGTGATATTTGAAGTTTTTATAAAGAGAATAATTAAAGAGAATGATGTCTGGCTTTTAATTTTCTTGCCAGAAGAGAGGGGAGTCTTATAGTTTTAGTTCAAACAAACAACAAATTAAACTTCTTCTACTCAATGCTTACCCAAAAGTAAGGATTCCCAATCTTTTGCCTTTTTAGGTTATTAAGTGTGCTAGTAACTCTTCTGCTGATTGTGAAGCAAAGGAGTACTTGATGCTCCTTTCACCCATTTCTCATTCTTTTCTGCTTTTTCATTTCAGATGGCAATCGTGCATCAAATGGAAAATGTCTGCTATGTGTTTCCCCACGATATGTTCGCTGAGTGCAAGGATTTTGTTCACTCCTATGGACAGGCTGTTGTTGTTATGCTTTTGGATGCAACTAAACCAGAATCTGTGTGCATCATGCTCAGATGTTGCCACAAAGGCAATTCCTTAAGCACTGGTAGTGCTGTAACTGGTAGGTTATAGCACTGATTGGTGATGTTGTCTACTGCAGTCTGGGAAAAATTAATTTCATGGGTCTACTCCCATTTCTTTATTTGAGGATTTTTAGCTCACTTGTCACCCCCCAAAAAGAGGTTCCCAGAGTGGCTTACAAAGGAGAATCATACAATGGTTTCAATCTGCAGGTGGGGACTAGAAATGGGGACTCCTTGGTGCTGGCTCCCAAGTTTTGAAACATTCCTCTCAACTATGTTTGATAGTTTTCTACCTTGTCAACCTTTAGCAAATAGATCCAAACAAACTTATTTTACTTATTTGTTTGTTGCATTTATATATTACCGCATATTCTGACGTATAAGATTACTTTTTAACCCAAAACAATCTTCTCAAAATCAGGGGTCATCTTATACGTGGGAGTTGTCTTATACATGGGCGTCGTCTTGTATGCTGGAGTGGTCTTATACACGGGAGTTGTCTTATAGAGTGTGTGCTGAAACTTCCAATCTGGATTGGAGAATCTGTGGTTGCTGCATATTGTGGGGGGAGCTCAAAAATGGCAGTGGCCGTGTCCCTGCCGTATGCAGCGACTGTGTGAAAGAGGCCCTGCTCACAATCCCACCTGTGTCGCAAGCGCAATTGGTGAGGACGAGGGACAGGGCCTTCTCGGTGGTGGCCCCTCGACTCTGGAACTCTCTCCCCAAGGACATCAGACAAGCCCCAACGTTGGCAGTCTTTAGGAAGAGCTTGAAGACGTGGTTGTTCCAGTGTGCCTTCCCAGAATAGGAAACTCCAAGCATCATGTCCCAATGCACTATACCAGAGAGTTAAGATTGTCTGCACACTGCACCTATTGCCAAACTCATCCATTTCACCTGGTCATGTCCAGCAATTTTAATTTTTTTAATCATTACATTTGGCCCGGCCATAGTTTTTAATTGCGTCGTGGTGTTATTGTTTAATGTTTATTGCTATTGTTTAATGTTTATTGCTTTGTTTTATGAGTTTATTTATTGTTGTATTTGTTATGTTGTTGTTTTGCTGATGTACTTGGCCTCGGCCTCTTGTAAGCCGCACCGAGTCCTTCGGGAGATGTTAGCGGGGTATAAATAAAGGTTTATTATATTATTATTATTAAGCATTAAGGGCAATGCTGTACAAGTATGGTAGAAGAAAATCCATTCATCAGGATTCGTGGACTTAATGCAGTCCCAATGGTGAGGTGAAGGGGCACCTCACCAGGAAGGTGTAAGTGATGGGTAGAGCAAGCTGCAGGCGTCCGGGTCACCCGGGGTATGGAAAAAAGAGATAAAGTGGCTCTGGGCCCAGACAAACACAACTCTTTTACCTGTCTGGCCCGCCCTTGTATCCTATTACCGTACCTCCTTCTCTGCCTCTCAGATCTCGCTCCTGAAGACTGCAGTGAAGCGGTGCAGGTGCGCATGTGCGAGATCTGAGAGGCAGAGAAGGAGGTACAGTAATAGGAAAATTACCATATTGAAATCAAATCTGATTCTTTTAAAACTTTTATTTGGTCTGTGTTGGAAGAGGGGTAGTCTTATATGGCGAGTATATCCCAAACTCTATATTTTAACTGGAGAAGTCTCTTTGGGCAGTGGCTGGTCATTTGTGTATATGTTGAACATGGATGGAGCAAGCACACTCCCCTGAGGCAGGCCGTTCTTCTGTTTCCGCCATCTGCTTCTCTGGCCCTGGAACTCAACAAAAAAGCTCCTGTTTTGTAGCAGGTTTCCTATGAGGCAGGTGAGGTAGTCCTTTGTGATATTATACATTTTTCTCAGCAGGAGGCGGTGGTTCACAGTATCATAGAGAGTTTCATCTATGCTGATGATCGTGCCATTACTGCTCAAGCAGGGAGCTTTGAGATGGTAGAACAGAAGCTTTCTGAAGCTCTAGGTGCTCTTACTGCCTATTTCAGAGAAAACCAGCTGATCCCCAACCCATCTAAAACACAGACATTTGCCTTTCATCTCAAGAACAGACAAGCATCCCGAGCTCTGAAGATCACCTGGGAAGGAATCCCACTGGAGCATTGCAGCGCACCCAAATACCTGGGAGTCACTCTGGACCGTGCTCTGACCTACAAGAAGCACTGCCTGAACATCAAGCAAAAAGTGGATGCCAGAAACAATATCATACGAAAGCTGACTGGCACAACCTGAGGATCACAACCAGATACAGTGAAGACATCTGCCCTTGCGCTGTGCTACTCTGCTGCTGAGTATGCATGCCCAGTGTGGAACACATCTCACCACACTAAAACAGTGGATGTGGCTCTTAATGAGACATGCCGCATTATCACGGGGTGTCTGCGCCCTACACCACTAGAGAAATTACACTGCTTAGCCGGTATTGCACCACCTGACATCCGCCGGGAAGTAGCAACCAATAGTGAAAGGACCAAGGCAGTGACATCTCCAGCTCATCCCCTGTTTGGATATCAGCCAGCACGTCAACGACTTAAATCTAGAAATAGTTTTCTAAGATCTACAGAGACACTCGCTGGAACACCTCAGCAAGCGAGAGTCCAAAAGTGGCAGGCTCAAACCCAGCATCTCAACCAATGGCTGATATCAAATACTCCCCCCTGGGCACACAGAAGACTGGTGCTGAACAGACTGCGCTCTGGCACCATGAGATGCAGAGCCAACCTTGAGAAATGGGGCTACAAAGTGGAATCCTCGACATGCGAGTGTGGAGAAGAGCAAACCACAGACCACCTGCTGCAATGCAACCTGAGCCCTGCCACATGCACAAGGGAGGACCTTCTTGCAGCAACACCGGAAGCACTCCAAGTGGCCAGATACTGGTCAAAGGACATTTAACCAACTACCAACTCACAAGTTTTGTATTTGTCTGTTTGTTTGCTTTGTTCTGTTAGAAATGTAATATAATGGATTGGTTGCTCTGACACGACAAATAAAATAAGTTGGGATTCGTCTTATACGCCCGGGCGTCTTATACGGTACTTTATTCCTGGTAAGGTCAAGGCACTGTGCGTGGCTTTTCTCACACATATTCTATCCTCACAAGCAACCTGACAGAGAAGTTGGACTGAAAGACTGGCCCGAGATTATCCAATGAGCGAAAAGGCTCATTGGGGGTCTTGAATCTAGATTTCTGAAGTCCTGGGTCAACAGTGTAATTCTTCTGAGCTTCAAGTTGTATTTTGCTTCACTTCTACTGTAATTTTCCTCCCGTTTAATTTATTGCTTTTTTGTTGTGACCTGCCTTTGAAATTTTGACACTATAAAATGAATGCAAGACTTTGAAATAATAGAATACATATAAGAGAAGAAAAACAAAGAGTTGGTTCCAGTCTGCAAACTCTCTAATAGGCTGTTCTCTCTCTCTCTCTCTCTCTCTCTTCAGAGACAGCAGCTCTGGAGCAAGTACGAAAAGACAATGAGGGTAAAATGTGCCATATGTGTACATTTGTCATTCAATACTTTGATGATGAGCTGGAGAAGAATTCAACACAGGCGCAAATTAGTACCATGCTTACTAAGAGCTGCCACTTACTGCCAGAAGCTTTGGTCTATATAGTAAGTATAATGAGTAGTCGTTATGGAGGAGATGCCTAGAGTTTTCTACGGAATTAATGCCATGTCTACATGAGCCAAATAAAGCATGCTCACCGTGTAACTACTAGGCATGTGTAGTCCATGCTTCTAAATGGTTCTAAAGCACTTACAAAACAAAAACTCTGGTGGTGAAAACTAGGGGGCGCTGGTGCTTTGTTTCTACAGTATTGCTAAAGTTCTGGTGGTGAAAATTTCAGAACTCTAACAAAACTTTCAAAATGTCATTATTTCATTATTGATGATTTTTCTGATAGAACCAATTAGTAGCTGTCATTTATAATGAAATTTTGAAAATTTTGTTAGAGTTCTGAAATTTTCACCACCAAAACTTTAGCAACACTGTAGAAGCAAAGCACCAGCGCCTCCTAGTTTTCACCACCAGAACTTTAGTTTTGTAAGTAATTTAGAACCATGGATTGCACATGCCTTGTAACTACTGTGTGAAGGCCAACTACGGTGGTTGGCTTATTAGCGGCAGCATTGCTTCTAGCCTTTATTCCAGAATAAGGAATAAGGAGTTCATGGTTTTTGGAAACCTTAGTGAGCCTGGTGTTTATTGAAGTATGAAAAGCCCAGTACTTTAACATAAAAACAAAATACTTTGAAGAAGATGAGGTACATGTCAAGATGAAACTGTTGGTTCATACTCAGGCATTTTGAACAATATAAGACCAGGGGAGTCCTTGAAGCGGTGGGTTCTTATATTTCTCTGGCTTGGTACTTTCTAGATGTGTTTGACTACAAATTCTAATTCCCTCCAACACAACCATACTGTCTGGTGAAAGTAGGAGTTTAGTTAAACATATCCGATAGCACTAAGTATGGGGTGATTTCCTTAGACCCTGTGAATTCAAATTAAATTGAACTGTTCTGGCTCAACTTACCTATCCGAATGGGTTTCCCCTTATGAACCTGTCGCCTTTGGGCTGAAAAGGGCGAGATAAAAGTGTGGTAGTAAATAACTAAATAAATTCAGTTTAAATTGATTAACTGAAAGGTCTAATCAGGGGAATCAATTTCTGCTACAAGAGTCTTACATGTTCTGCTTTCCTTTTTGTTCCTTTAGTGTGATGAACTTGTGTTGCAGTATGAACCGGCTGCTGTCCAACTCCTGATACAGGTCATGCAACCAACATATGTGTGTGCTGTAAGTCAAGTCATAAAGTTGGTTTAGTATTGAGGAAAGTGCTTTACTTATAATTGTCTACATATTTTCCTGGAAATATGTCCACTGAACTAAACCAGGGTTATTTCTGGGTAGATATGAATGGAATTGAGAAATTTCCTAGCAATAAGGAGATGACAAATATAAATGCAAAGTATTAGTTCAGTGGTAAATATAAATGGATAGTCTACTTGTTGTCATAGTCACAATATCAAAAAGAAAGGCATGCGTGCTTCTCTTGGGTTGTTTTGCAACAAAACCACAGTCGGTATCAAATAAGGATGTAAATATTTGTCTTCTTTGTCCTCACACAAGATGATGAATAATTTCTGCAGTTTCCTACCGAAGAGTTTTTGCCTGAAAAAGGAAGTGTGGGCATATGAAAAACATGTTTTTCATGCAAAAGTTTCTGGAATTTTCTATCAGTTACCTGGAGTTTCGCAATCATAACTGTTACGCATTCAATCGCTATATAGGCCTGTTTGATCAAGAAAAAATTTGTTTCTAAAATCGATTTGTAATTGGGGTGTTTTTTTGTTTCGATATTTAAAATAATTACAAAACTTTCCCCCAAAAAGTTTTGGTATTTACGAAATTTTGTAAATATTAACGAATTTTTAGAATATTTTTTGTATTTTTTAAGAATAATATTAAAATAATATTAAAAAATATTTAAAAATGGAAAATTAACCAAAAATGGCCCAAATGTGGACCAAACACAGGCAGGAGACAGCAAATGAGAGCACACACCAACAGAAGAGTCTTTTCTTTTTTAGAATATTTTTTAAAAATAATATTAAAATAATATTAAAAATAATATTAAAAATAATATTAAAAAATATTTAAAATGGAAAATTAACCAAAAAATGGCCCAAATGTGGACCAAACACAGGCAGGAGACAGCAAATGAAGCAAGCAGCACTCACAGCAGCAAGGAATGAATCCAATCCCAGTTGCTAGCAGCCAAGCCAACCCAATGCAAACTCCCTCGCCCTCTGCAGCAAGCTACGGGCCGCGCGGAGCCGCTTTGAAAGGGCTCGCCGGCCAATCAAAAACAAACAGCCACGGACCCATGGTGCACTGCTTGGGAGCGCCGGATTGGCTCCCAGGCACCAGCACTCCAGCAGCCTCCACCCCATTAACGAAACGAGCGGAAGCTCGTTAAATCTATGGGGGTTGCTGGTTCGATATTTTAAAACCCTTCCGGGTTTGGAAATGTGTTTTGATATCGCTTCGAAAATGCCAAAAATAACGAATTGATAACGAATTAACGAATTAACGAACGAAACCGCACAGGCCTACTATATAGCCTTGGTTAAGGGATTACATAGAGTCTGTGACAGCTCAATCTCTACTTACTGGGGAGCAGTTGCTGTGATCAATGGAGTTTTTTCCCCAGTTGCTTGGGAAGCAGTTGATTGTCATTCACACCCATCTCCATATGTAAGTGATCTCAGATATGAGGCAGGATTATAACTGGGACCCTGTTCCTGACTGGGAGGTGGTGGGAATAGGAGCGAACTGCTTCCTGAGCAACAGGGGAACTGACTCTTGTTGATTGCAGCTGCTGCTGCTTGGTAAATGGGAATTGTGGGGGTTGAGCTGGAATTTAGCCAATATCACTTTAACTGCAGTACATACATAATGCCTATGCCCCCGGTGGCGCAGTGGGTTAAACCCCTGTGCCGGCAGGACTGAAGACCAACAGGTCGCAGGTTTGAATCCGGGGAGAGGCGGATGAGCTCCCTCTATCCGCTCCAGCTCTTCATGCGGGGACATGAGAGAAGCCTCCCACAAGGATGCTAAAAACATCAAATCATCCAGGCGTTCCCTGGGTAATGTACTTGCAGATGGCCAATTCTCTCACACCACAAGCGACTTGCTCCTGACACGACAAATAATAATAATAATAATAATAATAATAATAATAATAATAATAATAATGCCTATGCGAGATTTTGGTTATCAATGTAGAAAACACATGTGGAAAACATCTGGTTTTTTGCATGGAAAATGTTTTTTATATAAAAAGACTTTCATGTGAAAAACAGCTTATGTATTTCTGTGCAGAATACTCTTTTGAAACACCTCCAGTTCTGTGAACAATAGGTAAAAACTGCACAAAAATTTCACTCTTGCGTTATTCTTATTTATTTAAAACTTTTATATACCATTCTTCTCATACCTCATAGTGGTGAGGGTTAGATAAGATGTATAAGCAGAAAAATAATAGTAGATGCCAAAAGTTAAAGTATGGTAGGTTGTTTTGAATAATATGTATCTGCTGTAAAATAAACAATGTATAACAAATGTATTGAACTATGATAAAATAATAAAAAAACTATTTTTAAAAAAAGGACATTTGGACCTTGAATTGAATATAATAGGCCCCTCATTCTTGCAAGAGAAGAGGAATAGCATAGTAACAGTTACATCTCTTTTGTGATCTCAATTCTTTATCCTACAGAAAATCGGAGCCTGTCCATCATCTCACCTTCTGGGCCTAGAAGCTTGTTCCTGGGGTCCTAGCTACTGGTGCAAGAATGCAGAGACTGCAACGCAGTGCAGGGTAAGCAGGAAAATGTTCCCAAAGGAGGAAGAAGGAGCATTGAACATATGGGAGATGGAGCCACCCCCTCTCCTAATATTTGGCCCCGGTTAAAACTAGACATATGCAATAAATATGCTTGTCAACCAGAAATAGGAAAGGGTAAATGGTCAGATTGATAGACATTGGATTATGAAATATTTTCTTTTATATCCTCATGAAACAAAGCTTGGCATCAGAAGATGTAGCCATGAAGCCATGAGATGTGTCTTGTAGCCACGTCTCCTGATACTATCCCTGAAACCTACCTTTTCAGTTATACAATCCCCTTAACATGGCCATTTCTGTATTGCCAAAAAGTAGAGCAATGATGCATATAACCTTCTTCCAGGAAGAGGGATGGATGTATCATTTCTTGCCCTGCCATCCACTCTCCAGCAATTTGGAAATGGACATTAATGTAGATCAGGAGGACTGAAGTGTAAAAGTAATTTTGAGGGGAACTTTTGTTGTTGCAATGGTGCAACAATCGTAAAAGTGAATTGCAGTGTTGTAAGTCAAAAGGAGGACAACACGTGGATCCATAACACTAGTTAATTGAGAAAATCTATATATATATAAATGTAATGTTCGTTTGTGCTATTCACAGAACTCAAAAACCACTGGGGGAATTGACAGCAAATTTGGACACGATACATCTAACAACCCAATTTATGTCCTTCACTCAAAAAATTGATTTTGTCATTTGGGATTTATAGTTCACCTACAATCAAAGAGTATTCTGAACCCCACCAATGATGGAATTGAACCAAACTTGGCACACAGTTCTCCCATGACTAATAGAAAATATTGGAAGGGTTTGGTGGGCAGTGTCCTTTGGTTTTGGAGTTGTAGTTCACCTACATCCCGAGATCACTGTGGACGCGAACAATAATGGATCTGGACCAAACTCTACATGAAGACTCAATATGCCCAAATGTGAACACCGGTAGAGTTTGGGGAAAATAGAATCTTGACATTTGGGAGTTGTAGTTGCTGGGATTTATAATTCACCTATAATCACAGAGCATTCTGAACCCCACCAACGATAGAATTGGGCCAAACCTCCCACACAGAACCCCCATGTGGTCCACAGCAACGCATGGCAGGGGATGGCTAGTCTATATAAATAAAAATGTAATGTTCGTTTGTGGGATTAACATAACTCAAAAACCACTGGGCGAATTGACACCAAATTTGGACACAATACACTTATCAGGCCAATGAGTGACCATCACTCATAAAAACGTTGAAAAACACAGTGGAAGGAACTTAAAAAGCCAAGAAAGCAAAAAGACCCTACAGCGAATGTGCAAAATGGCTCCCCCAGCAAGCAAAACACACAATAGCATATCCACACTCTCTTCCTGACTACAGTTCCCAGCATTCCCTAGACCAGGCCCTTTAGGAGAGGAGGATGATTCAAATGCACTGCTTCCAAGATGCAAGCTTTCTTCTCATTGGATTTCTTTGAGAGCATCCCAATCACTGCATATTTCCCATTTCCTATTCCTGGACTGCAACTCCCAGTAATCCTCCAGTTAGATAGATTAGATAGAGATAGGTACGTAGGTAGATGGATGGATCAGGGGGACTGCTGGGACTTGCAGGCCAAGCATAGGTAGAGAAGGAAGAAAGGGGGAAAGGGAAGGGAAAGTAAAGATGGGGGGTGGAAGGAAAGAAGAAGAGAATGAAGAAAGGAGAGAAAGTAATAAAAAAGGAAGGAAGGAAGGAAGGAAAGAGGAAAAGAAGGAAGGAGAGAAAGAAAGAAGAGAAAGAGAGAGGGAAGGTTGGCCACAGCAACGTGTGGTGGGTACAGCTAGTCTATATAAATAAAAATGTAATGTTCGTTTGTGGGATTAACAGAACTCAAAAACCACTGGGGGAATTGACACCAAATTTGGACACAAGACACCTAACAACCCAATGTATGTCCTTCACTCATAAAACACTAAAAACACAGCAGAAGGGACTTAAAAAGCCCCAAAAAGCTAAATGATGAAAAGCTAAATGACAATATAGAAAAAAGGGAAGAAAATGGAGGGAAGGGAAGAAAAAAGAAAGAAAGGAAATGAAAAGAAAAGAAAAGAGAGAGAGGGGGAGGGAAAGAAAGAAAGAAAGAGAAAGGAGAGAAAGAGGAGGGAAAGAAAAGAGGGGAAGGAAGGAAAAGAGAGGAAGGAAGAAGAGAAAAGAAAAAAAAGGGAAAGAAGGAAGGAAAGAGGGAGCGAAGGAAGGGGGAAGGTGTAGAGAAAGAGGGAGGGAAGGAAAGAAGGAAAGAAAGATGGAAGAAAAGAGACAACAAAAGAGAAAGAAAAAGGAGGAAGGAAAGAGATAGAGAAGGAAGGAAGAAGAGAAGGAAAGACAGGAAGGAAGGAAGGAAGGAAGGAAGGAAGGAAGGAAGGAAGGAAGGAAGGAAGGAAGGAAGGAAGGAAGGAAGGAGAGAAAGATGGAAGGTTGGCCACAGCAATGCGTGGCGGGTACAGCTAGTTATTTATAAAATCAGAATGCCAAAGTCTTATCATACTTTAACCATGGGATATTGCAAGGGGGGAAAAAGCTATAAGCAAGCCAAGTTGAAAGAAAAATCAAAACAAGGCAAGAAAATAACAAACAGTTTTATCCAAACCTGTGGATTTGAAAGCCAAAGCTGTGTTTCTGGAGAATGGAAGATTCTGGGCCAAGGATTTCCATTGGAAGTCCTCCAGATGTTGATGGACTGCGGCTCCCAGCATTCTTAGCTATTGCTTATGGTGACTTGGGACTTGGAGTCCAATAACATTTGGAGGGTCGCATGATTTGATTTGAGCTGCTTAACATGCTGGCAGAGGAAATCAATGTATTGTGGGGTGCATGTTTAACATTTCATGTCAATTATAACTAGCTGGGAGACACCGTAAATGTTTGGGGTGATATGTGCTTCAAAGGTGTCCTCTTTTATGGAGTCAAATTAATTTTAAGTAGTGCTGCTTCTAACTCAGTACACTTGGAATATGAAAATGATGTTCCTAGTTCAACCCAAAGATCATGATTATATAGTTGTGCACAATGTAAGTCCCATGGAGAATATGCCACTATCTCCATAACAGGAGATACATTCAGCTTACTCAAGGGTTACATTGATTACTATGATGCACATTCAGAGCTGTACCTGTGTTAGCAGCAACTGTATCTACAAAAGTGTATTTCCATATCTTCATCTAGACCAGTGGTTCTCAACCTTCCTAATGCCACGACCCCTTAATACGCTTCCTCATGTGGTGGTGAGCCCAAACCATAAAATTTGTTTTGTTGCTACTTCATAACTGTCATTTTGCTGCTGTTATGAATAGTAATGTAAATATCTGATATGCAGAATGTATTTTCATACACTGGACCAAATTTGGCACAAATACCCAATACACCCAAATTTGAATACTGGTGGGATTGGGGGAGGGTATTGATTTTGTCCTGTGGGAGTTGTAGTTGCTGGGATTTATATTTCACCTACAATCAAAGAGCATTCTGAACTCCACCAACAATGGAATTGAACCAAACATGGCACACAGAACTCCCACGGCCAACAGAAAATACTGGAAGGGTTTGGTGGGCATTGACCTTGAGTTTGGGAGTTGTAGTTCACCTACATCCAGAGAGCACGGTGGACTCAAATAATGATGAATCTGGACCAAAGTGGCACGAATTCTCAATATGCCCAAATGTGAACACTGATGGAGTTGGGGAAAATAGACCTTGACATTTGGGAGTTGTAGTTGCTGAGATTTATAGTTCACCTACAATCAAAGAGCATTCTGAACCCTACTAACGATTGAATTAAGCCAAACATCCCACACAGAACCTCCATGACCAACAGAAAATACTGTGTTTTCTGGTGGTCTTTGGTGACCCCTCTGATACCCCCTCACGACCCCTCCAGGAATCCCGACCCCCAGGTTGAGAAACACTGATCTAGACACATGCACTATGTGTTCAAAATAAATTAAAAATCAAGTTAATAAAACATTCTGATCAGATAATGTCCAAATTTGGGGTCAATCTGTCCAGTGGTTTTTGAGTTATGTTAATCCCACAAACGAACATTACATTTTTATTTATATAGATATGAAATTAGAATGGCTTTCTGTTCTGTATTTCCCTTTTTCTTTTTTAATATGTCCCTTTCTTTTTTTTCACAGGCCACTGAGTACTGTAAGAACCATTCATGGAACTAGAGAAATTCTTTCCAAAAGGCTGAATGGTGGCTATGGTTTCAGTGAAAGGAAATTGGAAATTTGGCTGGGAGGGAAACAAGAAAATGTCTAGATCTTGGTGGTACCCATCTTTTCCCTCCACCTTTAGCTTTGCTTGTGCTATGGATGCCTATTGTGTATCTGAAGCATAGGAAAGAACGAGATTGTCTCCTTGTTCATAATGTTCTGAATCACCATGCATTTTATCTTTTGAACCAGTTTGGAAAAGGGACATGGGAGGGGAAAAAGAAGTTGGGTGTGGGATTGATCTGAGTAGGTAACAAAATGGGTTTTATTATAATAGTAATACATTACCTTATGTTAGTAAAGTAATGGCAGAATCCATCCGTCATCAGCCATCGTCATCGGACTCATCATCCAAACAGGCTGCCTAAGCTGGGAATGTGATGTTTCTAATCCTTCTGCCCATCGTCGCTTGAAAGTGAATGTTTTTGTCCTTGTTTTGTGGGAGATGGTCTAGGATTTTTGTTATATAATTTGGTCACAAATTCAGCAGATGTAAAATGAGAGCAACATTGCTGAGAAAACTGATTGCCATGTATGTTGTCAAGCCGGCCCTTTAAAAGGCTTTTTGACATATCTACATTAAACATTTAAACTATTTTAATCTGTGTTAATCTTTCATATGCTGCCCTAAGGAACACCAGAAACATTGTTGAGGTGAAAAATCCATGGGAATGTGTTTTTTTCTTCAAAGTATTACAAAAGAGCTTGTCTAAAAACTCCTCATGTTCTCCAGATGCAGGAGTTATATTAAAAGGAACGGCATGCCAGAGCATTTGACATAGTCCATTATGATTGGCAGCAGTTGTCTAAACTGGGCTCTACAGGCCAATGGATACTCCACCTCAGACATCAGAAGAACCGCAAGACTGAGAACAAGCCACGAGAGTAAAGACGAAGATCCACCCAGAGGAAAAGTGTTCCTGCCATACATCAAGGGAACCACTGACCGCATAGGGAAGCTGATGAAGAAACACAACATACAAACTATCTACAGACCCACCAAGAAAATCCAACAAATGCTACGTTCAGCAAAGAGGGATCCTCTTGCTTCTGCAGGAGTCTACCGTATACCATGCATCTGTGGACAAGTCTACATAGGGACCACCAAATGCACCATTGCCCAAACACGAATCAAGGAACATGAAATGCACTGCAGACTACTTCAATCAGAGAAATCAGCCATAGCAGAGCACCTGATGAACCAACCTGGACACAGCATTTTATTTGAGAACACAGAAATGCTGGACCACTCTCACAACCACCATGTCAGACTACACAGAGAACCCATTGAAATACACAAGCATGTGGACAATTTCAACAGAAAGGAGGAAACCATGAAAATGAACAAAATCTGGCTACCAGCATTAAAAAACTCTAAAATTAGAACAGCATAACAACAGAGAGGAAACAAACAAGGACATCTAATTACCTCTCAACAAAAGATTGCTCCAGGTACTGCCAGGCAATCAAATGCTAATCAAGGTGATCAGTTGAAACATTCACACCTAGCTCCAGAAGACAAGAGTCCTTTGTTCTGCCCTGGTCATTCCACAGATATATAAATCCTTTTTCCTAGTTCCAACAGACCTCACTACCTCTGAGGATGCTAGCCATAGATGCAGGCGAAAAGTCAGGAGAAAATCCCTTTAGAACATGGCCATATAGCCCGAAAAAAACCTACAGCAACCCAGTTGTCTACGAAGTTAGACTCAGAACTGCCGCAAGCCCTGTTAAATCTGAGGCTGGATCCACACTGCCCTATATCCCAGGAACTGATCCCAGATTATCTTATCTCAGATTATCTGGCAGTGGAGAGTCATTTCAAAGCAGATAACCTGGGATCTGATCTTGAGATATAAGGACAGTGTAGAAGTGGTGTGGAGGCATTGACAGACTTTGTATTTCTAGGTGCAACAATTACTGCAGACGCAGACTAGCCAGGAAATCCAGAGACACATACTTCTTGGGAGGAGAGCAATGTCCAATCTTGATAAAATAGTGAAGAGTAGAGACATCACACTGGCAACGAAGATCCGCATAGTAAAAGCAATGGTATTCCCCATAGTCACCTACGGATGTGAGAGCTGGACCATAGGGAAGGCTGAGCGAAGGAAGATAGATGCTTTTGAACTGTGGTGCTGGAGGAAAGCACTGAGAGTGCCTTGGACTGTGAGAAGATCCAACCAGTCCATACTTCAGGAAATAAAGCCTGACTGCTCATTGGAGGGAAGGATATTAGAGACAAAGTTGAAGTACTTTGCCCACATCATGAGGAGACAGGAAAGCTTAGAGAAGGCAATGATGCTGGGGAAAATGGAAGGAAAAAGGAAGTCGGGCCGACCAAGGGCAAGATGGATGGATGGCATCCTTGAAGTGACTGGCTTGACTCTGAAGGAGCTGGGAGAGGTGACAGCTGACAGGGAGCTCTGGCGTGGGCTGGTCTGTCTATGAGGTCACAAAGAGTTGGAAACGACTGAACGAGTGAAGAACAAAGAAGTGGTGTGAGATAACTTTTAACTGGAGAAGGCTCATACCAGTGACCATTCATAGAATCATAGAGATGGAAGAGACCACATGGGCCATGTAGCCCAACCCTCTGCCACGAAGGGAAAACACATTGATTAGCAAAAGACCCGTTCTTTGTATACTTACTGTCTGTGAGTAATCTCATATCAAATCCTCACACTGAAATTGGTGTTTTTTTGTATGACACACTGACTGAAATCTCACATCTACAACATAGTGTACATTTTTGCATGTGGGATACTCTATACCAGCGCTATGCAGAATGGTAATCTTGTGCAATTCTTGTCAAGTCTTGGTGATGTGAAATATATAATGTGCAAATGCAACTTACAATTTTTTGTATGTGCAACTCCACTTCCACCCATTGCCAGCATTGTCTGTCGTGTTATGATGAATAATTTGCTCCACTTGTTTAGTGCAACTTACATGTGCATATGCCACCAATACAATGCCAATCGTTGAAAGAGAAAATCCAGATTTGTTTTTTTAAAACTTGGCAATCAGAGACATCTGAAAATGTGAATGGCTTCCCGAAGCCATTATGATGTTACATTGGTAAGTGCTGCATATCTGCAAAATTTTACTAATTGAGTAAAAGAGTAACAGTCCTTGCTTTTCATAGAAGAGCGATGCAACGGTATTTTCTTCATACCTACCTTTCAGTAGGTATGAAGGCATGAAGACATCACATTCCCAGGAAAACTAATGTAGTGGGATCTTAATCTTTTAATTTATTGTACCTGAAGATTTCCATGCCCATCATCATCATCATCATCATCCATGCTCTACCTAGTTTTTCCTCATTTCTGATTTTTCAATGTCCAGCCAGTCCTCTTAGGCACACATTCTTCAGATTTGCTGCTTCTTTGCTGTGTAGTTTTGCCCTTCCTGTAAATCTTCTGAAAAACTAGATCACAGAAATAGTATTATGTGCAGTTGATTTGTGTGATTTGCATAATTTATTCACAATGCAGAATTTTGAGTGTATGTGCATGTGCATACACTCAATCTGTGTCTTCTTGTCTGTCTCTTTCACATACGCAAACACAGAATTGTACACAACATTTTGAGTATGTTATGCTCCTAATTCCCTTCGTAGATAGTTTTATAAAGAGGGAATATACATGCTGGTACACTGAGGAACACAATTATTGCTCTGGTTCCTCAGCTCACATAATATGGTGCATTCAAATAAAAGAAACACAGGATCAGTGTGGTGGTTGGGAAGGGAAAGATAAAACACAGATTAACCAAATTCGTGTATAATGTATTTCTGGTTCCTTTGACAGACCATTCCAAAAACTCTCAACACTTTACTGCTTTAAAACAAAAGGGAAAAGTAAAATAAAATTACACACAAACACTCTATATTCAGAATCTGAATTAATTTCACTCTGTTTCTTCTGATGCTGTAGTGTTTTGGTAAGCCAGCTAAATGAAGAAATGACTTCATCTTTCCCCCCTCACTTTTGAAAATATGACAACATAGATGAATGCCAAACTGATTTGTGGAGCTTCCTGAAGTTTTTCACACACTCCTTGTGTGTCCATTGATAGTCCCAGGATAATCTTAGCTGCATTTGGTTGGCAGCCCATTCTCCCAACCACCAACTTGGGGGCAGGAGAAACCTACTGATGCAATCCAGGACACGTTGGAGAGCCTACTGGTCTCCCTTGATGGGACATGGCACCATGATTATTGCAATTCTTGCCTTAGGTTTGTGCCTCAGGGCCTCCCACTGCTTCTTAAAACACTTCATATTTTAAAAATAAAAATTTTAAAAAGTTATGGAAGTAATGGTGTGAGTGCCAGGTAAAAGTAAACAGTCTGGAGAACCTTCACCATTAGGTCTAGGCTCTCCAAGGCTGCCATAACAAAACACTTGGCTATCTTGGTCAGGTTTTTCTCTGGAATGGGTGGTGGCCAGGCCCCGGCGATCTTGCCCTCTAGATTTTCTTCTGCCACATTTGTCCCGCAGTGCGTGCTCTCCCTCTCGCAGTGACGGTCTATGTGGGCCCAGTTCTTCCTTGGCGTTCTACACCAGCGATGCCATTTCTAGTCATAACTCTGTGATTTCCAATGGGCTCTCCATGATTACATCCCTCATCTTGTGCATAGGGGTGGATTTGGCAGATTCAGTGCGGGCATTCCTATCACAGTATGCTCCACCATCGGCAGTCAGTGTCTCTAAGGAACGACCCAGCACTTTCTGGTCATCTTCAGGAAGGCTATTGAGGTCAGAGGTCAGCAGGGTGCCTGTGCTGCCATGGACCATGTGGATCCCATCAGGTCCCTTGAGCTCAATGGGCTGCTTGTGTCGAAAGCGGAGGCTTCCTTGGCTGGGGCTCCTTTGCTCATCATCTTCATCCAAATCATTCTGGATCAGCTGAAAGAAACCCAAGTTGAAAATAACACATCATTCTTGCTCTAGATCAGGGGTCCTCAAACTAAAGTCCGAGGACCAAATACAGCCCTCCAAGGTCATTTACCCGGCCCTCGCTGAAGGTCAACCTAAGTCTGAAATGACTTGAAGGCACACAGTAACAACAACAATCCTATCTCATCAGCCAAAAGCAGGCCTGCACTTCCCACTGAAATACTAATTATGTATGTATGTATGTATGTATGTATGTATGTATGCATTTATTTATTTATTTACAGCTTTTATATTCCGCCCTTCTCACCCCGCAGGGGTTTCAGGGTGGATTACAGTGTATACATATATGGCAAACATTCAATGCCAATTTTGACATACAAACATATACAGAGATACACAGAGGCTATTTAACTTTTTCTGGCCGCCAGGGGAGCTGTCGCTTTCATTGTCCATCTGCGACGCTGATGAAGCACTTCCGCATTCCCCGCATGCTTCCCTGCTGGAATGCTTTGCTGGAGTCTTCTTTATGGCCTCATAAATCAGTTAATTTAGCCTCCCCACACTTTAAGATGGTACCTTATTTTCCTACTTGACAGATGCAACTGTCTTTCGGGTTGCAAAGGAAACCCACTCCAACCCGGGCTGGCTTCGAACTCATGACCAGAGTGATCAGAGTGATCTTAATGCAACTGA